GGACATTTTCTAGTTGTTAAAAAGAGGATGAAACAGCGGTGCGTCACAGATATCATTTTCGAGTCATTAAAAGCTATATTTCACGATCAGAGGCAGCAAGTGAGAAAAATGCTGTCTTCTCTAGCACGGAGAAAAAAATTACTTCTTCCTTTTTTTTCTTATCATTTAAACCAAAAAAGGGAAAGCAGAAAGTGTTTTGCAAATTCTTACACAAGCCCTATGGGTGAAATTTAGTTTAATTTGGTTTTTCACCTTCTTCCTACATATGAAAGGAGCCTTGAACAATTTTAAGGTTTTTATGGTTTTCGCTTCTGTTCCTCTGAAAGAGATTTTATATCAGCTTCAGAGAATCTCTTCATCGCTTGCCATGTTTCAGTGATTGTTTGCGCAGACAACTGTGCAAAAGCTTAAAACTAAGTTATCAACTGATACCCTCACCTGCATACGCGTTACCCTGGTCTCGGATGAAGTATTGTGCGGATTCAGTATGCGAATGGCTCAATTTCTAGTAAAAAAAATCGTTTCTATGTTATAGAGACCAACATTTGCATCGCATTAGAGCACAGGGATCGATTCGCATACGTTGTGGCTTTTCTGATAAATCTCTTGAATTGTATGGGCTATCTGGTAGACATGATTCCCTTTCTTCACAATCTATCGACATTTTTCACAGATCATTCATGGGGTGAAGCAGTTTTAACAAAATAGGGCACATTTTCCTTAGTAGAGCAAGACTGAAATGAAAATGATCACAACAGCCAATCACAACAAAATAAAATATTATAAGGAGCCAATAAGAAATCGAATAGAACTGCCTCAAGCGAAGGAAAACGTGATAACAGTCGCCAAATTGCATTTTGTTCTAGTTTTGTATTTTATTGGTTAAGATACCAACTCAAGTTTTCTATAAAAATCACACAGTGAAGTAATGCAAAGACATTACAATGTCATCGTTCTCTCGATACTTGAATGAAAATTTTCCTGACGCTCGTCGTTATAAGAATAACAGAAGCTTCAGTGAGAAGTATGTCTGAAAAGGCAGAATTATTTTTGGCGTCCAGTGCAGTTTGTACGATGTATATGTAAATTTTTACTTATCTCCACGCAGAATGCTTCCGTAAAAATAAGTTCTAAAAGTAAATTGTCAATTGCCAGTTATCTTTTTTGATTGGGAAAGGACAATTTCTATTAAGTTTCAAAACTTTCGCTAATATTTATTACCAATAACCGCCAATTTGTGTAATTTTGCGGATCTTCTTTTTCTCATGCACATGACATCAGGAAAATCGTCAATATTTGAGAATGAAGGCGAGATTTTCAACGCTGACTGGAGTAATAATGCACATGAAAAACTACGCGCTTCTGATTGGCTGAAAACGAGTGCATTCTCACGTAACCGCGTGCAAAGTTGTAACATGAGTGCAAACTACAAAGTAATAACATGATTTCTCCTGCAATTTGGTGTAATAAGCACTAGTAAATTTATCAAAGACTACAAATTCTAGAGAAAGATGTTTTTGGTCTTGTCACGAGCGTGAGCAAAACAAAAATTCTGAGTCCTCATGAGGAATCGAGCCTCAAACCCTCTGATTCCGCGCTCCAATGCCCTACCATTGAGCCACAAAGACTCCACGGTGGAGGCGGCCCATTACGAAGTTCATATTACGCACGTCCTGCATACTGCTAGGATCAGCAATGTCGATAGCGTAATGTTTGTAGATGGAATAAGAAAGATGGTAAGTTTTGAGCTCGGTAAAGAAGTAAAGAAAGATGTTTATCGTCTTGTCACGAGCATGGGACAAATAAAAATTTATTCGTGCTTATTAACACCAAGTTGCACTCGAAATCATGTCATTACCTGTGGATTAATTACCGTCAGCTAAATTCTCACAATTAACTGAAATAGCAGAGCTTTCTTTTTGTCTCTGAGACTTTCGCCATTATACATTTCATAAAACGTTTTTAGTTTGGTAGCAACTTAGTTATTTATATGTATATATGCCCAAGTTAAGCTATGATGATCCTCTCACGCAAGTTTCAATGGTAGCAAATGCAGTAAAGAAGCCTGGGCGAGATTCGAACCATGTCCCTTAGATAGTTGATGGCTACAAGCAACTTTTCTAAGAATCCACTCGTTGGTAGCGAGGCAGATGAACTTTTGTTACTATTGCAATACTTGAAATTAACGGCGCGTTCTTCGACACCAGCTGTAGATAAATTGCCCTCAGTTAAATTCCCACAATGAAGTGAAAAAGCAGACTTTCTTTTTGTCGCTAAGACTTTGGATATCATCGTGAGAACAGACAGGTCTGGGTATCGCACCAAATTCTTTTGTCAAATTTACAAAAAACTATATGGCAGTTAGAAAGGAGAATTTCTCATTCGATCTTGGTAATTAAAAGCAGTTTTGCGCGGCGCCATAAAATTCATGTTTTACATCCTCTTCACGTGTAGCCAATCACCCTGTCAAATTGATAGCTAGAGGGGTGTGGGGGCGTCTAATTAATGGCATTTCGTTTTCAATACTCTGACATAAGGGTTATGATGTAACTTGAGGATGACATCAAAACAAGCCGTTTTCTGGCATAGCAAGGCAATATAATTAATTACGTGATACACTCTTGAATATGGCGCTCTTCAACAGGATATATTTAGACGTAATCAATATCACTTTGCACGACTTCATATCTGGAACTGATTTCATGGATCTGTAAACAAAAAAATATATTGGATGTTGTATTCAAACCAAGAGAATGTTTGCTTCGAGATTTAATCTAGATAATTTTATCGGTATCTCAGACTTCTTGATTTCATTTCTACCAAATTAAATGCTTCCATATTCGGTCAAAAGTAGTATGCTTGGTCTTTAAAAGCAATCCTATTTCGAAGTTGCGGGAAATTTATCCATTGTGCGCACAGCATCCTGACTCAAACCTTAAGGAAAATGGTGGAAGAAGAAATTCCTATATACAATTTTAATTGTACTTTTTCAAATCACATCGAGTTACTTAAGTTATTTTCGAAAAGGTGATTTTAAATGTCTTTGTAGCATGTATTGTTCGAATTTCAGTTTTATGTGATGTGTGGCGGCCCACTTTGTGTCGAGGCGCAAGCCTGAAGTTTGGTACTGCGTGAAATCCAACAAAAGCTTGATTGTTCTTATTCAGTGAATTACAGAGTTTTAATTTAACGATATCTTGTATGTTTCGTCCTCTGAATACAACCTATTATAAGGTTTCTTCAAATTGGTTCCAGAACGAATGATATTTGAATGCACTGCGCGTGCTCTACCTTAATTACTGTCGTGGCTTTCGACCATGACCAATAGCAAAGATAATTAAAATAATAAAAGAAAGTTTGCAGGCATATCACATTTCTAACCTTCTTTGCCAAGTGGTTTACAATATTGAACACGCCTCCGGTCAATAATTTGCCATTTGATGACATGTTTTATGAGATCTATCTAAAGAGGTCATCGAGTAACTCGCGTGCCATGGTTGTGGTTGAATAATACAGTTTCAACTTCGACTCAACAATTATATCACAGTTCACAGCTCAGACTCGTCTTATCTTCAATAATTGTTTTGACTGGAATATTGTTGAAAATCTAGAATTTACGCAAACTGTTTTGAAAGTACTTTTATCTTAGGCAATGCAATATTTTTCTCGTACAACATATTTTCGTCGTTCGTCAACCGTCCCCTTCCCCCCCTCCCCCTTCCCGGCTTTCCAGCCCAATCCCAAAGGCTGTATTCAGTGGAAAGGACTAAGAGAGATTCACGATTTACGACAACAGTAAAACCGACATTCCCTCTCAAAAAGCCTCACTTTATGGGCAAAAGCTTATTACCCTATAACTTCCAAGGATTGCACTTGCATTTATATAGCGGAATTAAAAATAGACAGGGAATCCCCGACCTCTAAGTATTATTTTATGAGAATAGAATGATCTGATTGGCGAAGAAATCATCGCGTAAACAATTTGTGTCCACTGATTGGTCAGAAACGGACTGCTCCGATTTCGTGCAATGTCATCAAAATGTTATACGACGTCATAGTTACCGCGTGTCCGTCTAGCTTTGAGATCGGGGATTTAGTGGATTAGAAAAGGTACGACTTTTATGTTTTAAATGCACAGCTGAAATAACAGTCAGATTTGTTTCCCCTCCATAATTTTGCTGAAGTCGATATCGTAACTAAATGGCGTCATGTCGGAGTGCTGTGAGAAGTTATTGAGCTTTTAACCTAGGTAAACAATCCCGTGGCGCCGCTGCGATGTAAATCTCTTTGTCCTTCCACGCTTCCCTTGAAGCTTTTAACGGCGTACTTCCTCTTTACAACGTTCGATCCAAACTGAAGGACTCTTGCAGGAAATAGAAAATCAGTCGAGTGAAAGTGTAGTTTTGACTAGAACGCACGTCAAGTAACGGAAAGAGATGCAATCAGGAATTGTTTTGGTTTTATTCAATGAAAGAGTGCTCAGGGTCATGTTACGTTAATCGGAAGCTCTACTTGTTGAGCCTACAACACTTTCGTTATCACTACACAAGTTGCAAGCGTTTTAATCGGTGAATACTGATTCGTGTTTCCATGGTAGTTACTCCAAGTCGATTTTCATCCATGTTGTGGCACACAATATCAATATATGTCTACACCGGTCGTTTGACTTATCGGAACCATTGGTGCTTTTCCAAACAGGAAATCTGAACCGATAGGAATAACTGATGAATTGATTTAGAACGGCACGTTTCTATAATCCAGGTCTTACAAAGCGTTTCTCCAGTTTTCGATTTTTGAATAGTTAATCGTTGTTCTTCGGTTAGATATTTCTTTTTTCGTCGATCGATTTCTGTCGCTTGTTAAGGGATGAGTCGTTCCTTCGCGAGTTCATGTTCATTACAGTACGTAAACGTCATGATTTAAGTGTATGAACATCTAGCGTCGTAAGAGAATATGAGACTATATGACGATATTCTTCATTTTTTTAAATTTCTGTTCAGAGCGGGGATTAATTTTGGTTACGTGAAAAGAGGCCTTGGTGGAGATCTTGCATCACGTTCCACTGTGCCAAACAAAATGGTGGATAATGTTGAACCGACGATTAACACTCTTCTGCATGATAAACATTATAAACACCTTCTCGATGATGTTCGGGGGGACGAGAATCCTTCATGGTAAGTACGTTAATTTTGCGTAGCTCTTCATCGAGTGACTTGAGCCAAAGCGAAGCCATGTACTTTTGGGAATTATGTATACTATCACATGTCCATCGCTTCACTTCGATCAACGATTCACATACTGAAGCGTATCTGCATTTTTATTATCATTATTATTATTTTCTTTCGTCGTATCTCATCAATTGAGAAATATCTCTTCAACTTACAGATACTTAGAAGTGGATTTGCGTAGTCAATCAGTGTGTTAGATGTTTACTATTTTTGGTCCCGATCAGGATCTATTGCTCAGGCTTGACTTGGAGTCGCGCCCTGTTGTTTTCGTTTCGTTTCCTGATGCAATATCATCGCAATAATACTCTGCAACTGTCTTCTTGACGCAAAACATACACAGGGCTGATGCCCTACTTATATTTTCACTCAGCGGATCGTTTTACCCCCTTTTTTTTCTAAATCGACGAATGCAATGTCGACAAGATTGTTATAGATATTGGCTAATGAACTTGTCAAAGTTGACACGGTAGAGTATCGTGTGCGAATGAAAGTCACGCTTTCTTTGGATTTTGTCTGTATTCTGTCACGTGAATATCACACGCGGGTCAAACTTATGAATGCATCTTGTGAGTGCTATAGATCACGTCAAGTTAAAATCCACAAGCGAATTATTTCATCAGAAAGGTGAACTTAAAGTATTAAAACGATTGGGACTTCCTTGCTGTAAATAATAAGATGGACCGTAGGATCAAATCTGAAAAACCCAGGTTAGATTCATTACCTCTAGGAAGAGCAACTGTGTAGCAAATGCTTTTAATTATTATTTGTTCCATCTTTTAGAAACACATCCAACTTAATGTTCAAATTATAATTAAGTGGTATGTTAACTTAGTCACAAGGTAAATGTGTTTGCAGGAAAGATTCTACATGATAAACAATCACAAAACACTATTGCACTGCATCCCTCACTTTGTGTTTACTGTTGAAAACTACTGTCGTAGATTTTCAGGAAAACTGCATTGAGTTCATGGGGATTTAATTTTTCTGGTAAGGGTCTTTGAAAATTCCCTAACCCACCCTTGTTAAGTTTTGCAGCCAAAAAAAGTTGCCATAGGGTAAGAATTGGGTTTAAATGCCCTCTTTTTCTTTCTCTAAATTGAACAGCATTTGACATTTTATTGAAATCATCTTTTGGACATTAGCCCTTGTGGTTGCAAAACAACATGATATCACCATCAGAAATAACACTCGACTTTGTGACAGCCCAAATTACCTATTTTGGTTATACTTTGATTTTCATTATGAAACAAGGAGGAAATTGTTTAATCTGTTGAAAACTTAATATTAATTTACAAAATGATATTTTGCAATATACTTTTATTACAGTTTTTTTCTCGTCCCACACCTGTGGTCACAAAGGTGTTCCAAATTTGGTTGCAAAGTTCAACTTGGCAATGCATCATACCATTTCGACCCTTACACTTTTCATATCTGATCAATGATTCTCTCCTTTGGTGGAATGGATTTCCTAGCAAATTAGTTTAGGAAATATGGTGTTACACAGTTTAATATTGAGATCTAATTTTAACACTGATGGACTTTTCTCTACTCAAATTAAAACTTTTAGGCAAAGTTACTTTTTCATCACCTCTGAGAGGAGGTTGGGGTTAGTTAATAGCCAATCCTGTGTGACTCTTCTTATTTCAATTCAACCCTCAGACTCCCAAGATCTGATTGTGAATATTTCTCTCTAGCTGCTACATATTTCTTTGTAAGTTAGGTACAAGAATTTGGTTTTAGATCAAAATATTAAGTATAAAAATTCTCATCACCTGTTTTAAGGATAATATATGGATATTATTGGGAGAAGTTACTTGTTAATCACTTCTGGGAGTAAAGGTATATCAAGTGTGAAAGTCAGTTTTGCTATGGTATAATTCCAGCCCTCTCTTCAACCTGACTTCCAAATTCTGCCGCTATAAAAAGTGACAAGTGCAGTTGTTAGTATTGTTGTGCAAGCTCGTTAGTTATCCAGTTGATTGACTGACGTGCCACTTATGCTGAGAGAAAGGAGCTTGTCAGTTTTACAAGGCTTTATTTAGTGATGACTTTGACAAACTTACTTTGCGATCAAACAATACTTGTCAAACCAGTGTGGACTTGCCCAAAACCACAAGCGAAATGCAACATCAGCAACTTTTTTTAGTGATGTTCTTAAGTACTACTTGTGCAAACTCCTACATCTAGTGGCAGAGTATTGTTTATCAAAGAATTATGTTGTACATGTATGACTTGTTTTGAGGCATTTATTGAAAGCATCAAAGATCTTTACTAGTTATCAACCAAATGGGTGACAAATCATATGTTGGTGTAACTTGAAGGGTTTTACAATCTTTGTTTGACTGAATTTCTTCATTCTCTTTAATTGTTTTGAGGGTAAACAAATTGAAGTTGTTTTTTTTCCTTTGTTGTGTAATTTTTTGTCAGTACAAAAAAACTGTGGTCAAATGCAGGAAGTTGTTGTTTTCCTCTAGAAAGTCAGGAAGTTCATTAAATAGCCCAAGGTTAATGACAATTTTTTTTGTCCTTATCTTACCTTATAGCTGTCTATTGTCAGGTATTAAAAAAAAAAGTGTGTTGCCAATTGAGTTGTTATTTATTCAAACATGCTCTCATGAAAGACATGTTATGAAAGAGTTAAGTCAAGAAAGTCTTAAATAAGGTGTTTACTGCTAGAACAGAATTTAAAGTTTGTTTTCTTGCCAAAATCCTGAAGATCACCTGTTGCTAAGTGGATTAAATTTCTTTTGTTGTCTGATGAGTTTAACTTAGCAGTAGTATTACATAAGAGATAAGAAAAGTGTCAGATAGTGTTGAGGCCTTCCAACATTCATCAGATTAACTTCTTTGTTGTTAGAAGTCAAACTTGCCTAGGTCAACAGTGGTAGATATCAGGTTTCTATTGTGTCTTATTGTTTTTCTATAATGTCAGTGGTTGCAGAAACAATGGCTTTTGTATTTCTCAGTTAAATTTGGCACAATAACAATAGTTGGCAGAGGTGATGAGTTCCGCTGACACAAATATAATGGCAAGCCGGCACCCCATTTTAGCTTAGTCAGCTTAGAGAATTATTCAGTTTCACTAGTTAAAGTGAATTTGAAACTTTGGATCAGTTCAGTAGTAATACAAAGCAAAGATGTCATGTACTCTGGATTCAGGCTTTCCAAAAATGATGCAGTGGGACAAAGATTTATGCCACAGGTAGCAGAGTTGATCATGTTATGCAGCTTAATAGCAGCCATAGAAAATTTCTGGTACATTTTCACAGCTTTTCTTGTGCTTTGCTTTTTGTGAGCTTGCTTAATTTAAAAACATGGTCCAGTTTCATGAAGGGTTTCCCAATCCAAAGCTTCTTAATACCTGCAGTATTCCACAACATCTATTAAATGTGGTAGTTGATAAATTTCTGGTTAGTTATAGGTTTGATTTACAATTTCCTATACGGTAATGTACTTTAATCTGTAAACAAAGAAACTGCAGTCGCGAGTCATTTCAACAAAGTAGTCTCAAATACAGCATTGAGTCATGTTTATTAGCCACCTTTGTTAAACAATAGTCCTTAGTAAATTTGTCTTCAGGTGAACTTCTGATTGGAGGTTAACAACAGATTTTCAAACACATGAATTTTAACAAGGATGAATATTTAAGAGTGAGCCACATTAGAATCTATATTGTCCTTAGAGTAAAAGTGGCATTTGTTGTTGTTGTGTAATGTAACTAACCCTTTCTTACTTTCGTTTTCAGTTTTCTGTCTCCACTGGAAACAGGAGAAGGTAAGAAATACAAAATTTGAATACTTGTTTGTTTTCTTCGCTTGAGTATGTTGCAATCAGCTATATCAGTGATCTGTTTTGAAAGTTGGCATAAAACCAAAACGAAAATATTATCTCTAGTAATGTTAGTAGTAAATTGCCACATTTTCTGAGTACAAAGCAGCTTTGATTTTGTATCAAGTGGAGAAATACGTTTTTATGTTTTGTTCTGATGAAAAGGGAATTTGAACAAATGTGTGCTATGTGAGTGACTAATCTGTAAGTGGATATCCGGAGTAGTTATATTTTTGTTTTTAGGATATTGGATAATTCAGTAATCTGAGATAACATGGCAAATATACAAGAAAACAATGCCATGCACCTTTGACCCCTTTGCGGATGTTTCTGGATGCTAATCTTTACATCTAGTGTATTGTTTGCAAGTAATTTCCTACAAGTCCAAGGAAAAGAAAAATTGAGCTGAAAACAAAGATTTTGTGAAATATTGCATTCCCAGCTGTAAGATATTGCATAATATAAAAACCAACTCTTTGTCTTGTGATCAAATTTAGAGCTGTGTTGATGAAAATTCAGAATTGTGGTGAAGCCAACAACTGCAGGTCATCCTCACAGAATTAAAAGAAATTTCAGTCTTTTTGCTAAAATGTTTGCTCTTTTTTTTTAATTTTTTTATTTTAGATTCTCAAGACAATTTTTTGCCAAGTGATATGAGGTCATATGGCCAGCCATTCCCGGTAAGCTGAGGAATTATTCCGTCATTTTGTAGCTGTATTCTTTCCACACAAGTGTTGTGTTACCCTTGCGTGGGTTGGTACTAGGATACATGTAGGATTTCTCTGATTTTTCTTCTTTTTGTTTGTGTTTGGTCCAAGTGAACTTTCCATTGTTTTGAGGAGAATGTTGCTGTAATTGTACATGTATATCATAATTTGAATCTTGATATTGTGGCTTACTGTGTCAAGCAAAAGTGGAACTGATAGTATTTGCCATAACAAAGGAAATGATATCAAATTAACACTGTGATTTTAGGCAGTTGAGGTGAATCCACATTAAGTCTGTGATATTACATTAATTCAGTTTGAGTCCACAAGGTTACAACTTTTTCTCTATTTTTTTTTCTCAGAGAAGAGATTTAAACTATAACAATGTGTGCTGTACAGTTAAATTCATTTCTATTGTTTCTTGCCATAGCTGTGATTAGGAAATGGGACACTTATCTATTTAAGGGATTGAGAAATAACTCCATATTGTAAAACTTTTGAAAAGCCCTTTCTCCTTTACTAGAAGGGAACAGCATCTCAACATGTCACAACATCCCACCTCCATCTTTATATTTTTAGTAGTTTTCAGGCACTGTTGGACACAGTGTTGGAAGCCAGCATTCACTAATTCATGCACTTAACTGGAAGTAACGTTTCATGACTTAAATGTTGTGTTTGAATTTTGTATTTACACCACAGTACATACCAAGTTCTCAGGCACCAGTGGATTTGCCGACATCTACCAGCCCCAATCCCCCAGCTTATCCACACAATATTCCACAATCTCCTGGCCTTGTGTCAGTGCACAGGAACTCTTCTTCTATTTCTCCAATCAATACTGCACATTACGAGACTGTAAGTGGATTCTTGGTTTGAAGTGATTTTACAGTCACTGTGATTATTTTTCATCTCATGTATTTTTGAGCAACAGCTCTGAGAAGTTCCAAGGGGAACAACCCACAAGATTGCATCATAAGCACAGCATGTACTTGTTTTCAAAATTGTTACATTTACATTTGTAAGCTCTTCGATCTTTAAACTTTCTTATAAACAGTCATTCAGGGATATTGCTTTTTTTCCTAAGTATTTAAGTCTTAAATTTCCACATTATTGTGGTAGATGTACGCATGTAATTTTACTTAGGACTAAAATTGTCTTTAACTGCTTGACTCTCCATTATCTGTGAAACCTTTGATCCCTCAGAGTGACAAGCATCAGATTTCTTCCCACAGTAATACTGCTGCATCATTCATTAAGATCTTGAGAACAAAAGAAATGATTGCCAATCTAAGAAGCTTTGATTGTTAAACAAATTCTCCTTGTCAGTACCAAAGGAAATGTATAGAGAAGAGTATGGAGAATTTGGATACTAATATTAGGGGGTGCAGGGTTTATCAAATGATTGCTACAAATACAGGATGTCAACAGAGATACTTTACTCTACAGTCTAGCACATACAGTGACGCTTCCACTCCTGGTACTCCAGCAACTTCATCTCCCAACATGGTGCACACCTTCATGCACCCTTCCCGCTTACCGCAGATTCCCAGCACCACAGAATACCCAGGAGAATTGAATTTCCAGTTATCTTTTGGCCCTCTGACTGAGTCAGCCTCCAAGTCTGCCACGTGGACCTACTCGGATGTCTGCAAAAAGCTCTATGTAAATCTAAACAGTTACTGTCCAATTAAGTTTAAGACATCTTGTCCCCCACTACCTGGGACATACTTGCGAGCTGTTGCGGTATTCAAGGGCTCCACTAATTTGCATGATGTTGTGAAGAGGTGCCCCAATCATATGGAGAACTCCAATGATGGTAAAAATCTCCTTTATTAAATGTAGCTTAAGACCCATCTGTTATTCTCTAGCTTGAACCTGTTTTAGGTTTAACTAACCACTCTTTTAACAAGTAACACAGTTCATGTATGTACAAGTAATTGTTGATAACAAAGTTAGGACAAATGTATGATTTCCTTTTGGTAATATATTCCAGTTACCAATTGAAACAATAACAATTAATTTTTGCATTCCTTGGTATGATATTGGTTGCTTCATCTTTTGACGATGTCCAATTTTTTTAATAAACTAATTCAATAAAAACAAATTATCTCAAAATACCCTCCACCAATGCAGCATCACAGTTTCTTTCAAAACTGAACCTCTTCAATCTACTTTCTCTTGGTTCTTTGTGATTTTCAAAGCAAATGAATATTTTCAAATGAAATAAATCGTTTTTGGTTTCTTGCTATGTAAAGGCTCTGCTCCAAATGCCCATTTCATGCGGAGTAACAATCCTGCTGCCCAATACCACGCTTGTCCTGAGTCATCAAGACACTCCGTCATTATTCCTTACAGTGGCCCACAAGGTGAGACTAGTTAAGATGAAGATCATACTAGCATACAGTTCATTTATTGCTGTTAATTTTTTTTGCAAAACAATGTGAGGTTGGGACATGAGAGGTGACTGAGTTATTTTGGAGGTCTTTTGCGACAAACTGAATATATACATGTATGCTATGTTTATGACTACTTTTCTTGCTGCAGTCATATCTGTACATATCTAGGCTACCCTTAATTTGTTACCTGAATTATGGGCAAAATTGTGTTGCAAGGACGCATGTTTGAACAAAACTTCTCCCTTTAAAATGCAAAATTGTTTACTCTCAGTGATCCTGTTTGGGTGCAGTCATTTTCCCTCAAAGTGCCTCTGCATGTTGAGGTTTGTATGGATACAGAGAGAGTATGAAGAACTACACATGTAGTCACAATTTGAATTGCAGCCTGGAAAGGAAGCAGCATTGGTTAGGGCAATGAAATCATCCAGATGATATAACATATTCACTTCATATACTATAAGTTTGGTCTCTAAATCTGAGCTTTACCTGATAGCACACTCATTTTATGTTTCAGTTGGTACAGAGTATGTTACCGAGATGTTTGCATTTATGTGCTTCTCGAGCTGTGCATCAGGGCCAAGCAGAAGGCCAGTTGAAGTTATCTTCACACTCGAGAGGGATGGACAGACTCTTGGCCGACGTGTTGTGGAAATAAGGGTGTGTGCTTGTCCAGGGAGGGACAGAAAATCTGATGAAAGGATTGCATGCGGTGAGCCTAGTTCATCACAAGGAGCCAAACGCCCAAGAAAAGGTGAGTTTTAATGAACTTTCTTTTTTACCAAGCACCAGTCAATGATCAAGGCAAAGGATTTTAGCTTTTCACAGTCTGGTTTCTTGAATGTAAGGAACACGTCACTTTTCAGACTTAAGAGTAGAACTCAGAATATCAAATGTGAAAGAGATATTCTGTTTGTTTTATAATTTGGTTCACCAGAGTTTTGAATTTTGTGTCTTGTTTAGAAGTTGTTCATATACCAATTTTTGCATACATGTTTACCAGAAAATTTTGAATTGCTTCAGGGTCAAAGGGTCCTATGTCAAAGAGAAGGAGAACAAGCTCAAGATCTCAGGAAGAAGAGTTCACAGTTACCGTAAGTGGAACTCTCAAATAATAGTCATTTTATCCTTGCAAGAAGTAAATGTTGATCTTATAGTAGATGTCTTAGATCCCTGCTTGAAAATTGAGATGCCTTAGTATATAGCCATAGCTGAAATGATGAGCTCAAATGTTTAGACACTTTAGCAAGATGTGCCAATCGTGGTTGCCACAAAAATTTTAGTAGACACCACCAAAATTATGAAAATAAGTATGATCTATCCACTTTGTTCTCAGTTGTTTTTGAAGTGATATCTCTGGTAAATTTATTTAACCCCCCAAGATCTGATTGTTAATTCTCCCCTGTGGCTGCTACACATTTCGTTGTGAATTAGATGCGAAAATTTTGGCGTAAGATCAAGATAGTAACTTTTATCTGATAAGTTTGAGTATTCTCATAGCTGTTTGTTGGATAATATATTGATATTATAGAGAGAAGTTACATAGTAATCACAGCCCTGACTACCATCTCCACATATCCTCGTTGTATAAGTAGTAAATGCAAAGAAAAACCTAAAGGCTAGTTTGACAAACATACCTGAACTGGTGTAATTTGCATAGTAGTGCTTCGTGGTCAAGTTTTTGCTTTCTCTTGTCGTAATGGTTTCTCCAATGCTTTTCATTTCTCTTTGCAGACAAAAAATTATCATGTCTACGAGATTCTGCTGGACATGAAGGAGAAGCTGGAAGAGAAGTTTGAAAGTTGGAATATTCAGAGCCCAGATCACTCAATGTAAGTAATCGGAGATCCTTTTAGGAATTCTCTGAAATGTTCATCATACAAATTTTCATCACCGGATATTGGTCCTCCTTGCGACGAAATAGCAAATAGAACTTAAAAATTCATTGTATGTCGCGAAGCAAATTCTTTGTCCAAGGTCAGTGAAAGGGCAGGCTGTTGTTGAGTAAAGTTTATAGGAAAATTTTTGATAGTTTTTAAAGTGAATGTACAGTAAAGCGACGGAAAATAAACTTGTTCCTTTTGATAGACTTCTCTGTAGCATGTTTTAACTTTTTTTCTTCATCGGTCGATTTCTGAGCAATAAATTTTATTTGGTTTTAGAAGCTTTGGCTATGTTTACGCTTTATCGTTTCGACATTTTGAACCGTGTGCTATCAGTGTGTTTACAGCGTTTCAAGAGCAGTTTTTTCTTCTCGCTGTTTTTATTACACGCAACAGAACATAAGGAGTGATTTGGGTGCAATGAAGTTAAAAAGATGTTTCGTATTCGTCACCAACTTTTACAATGAGGAACAAAAATGAGAAATTGCTTTGGGTTAGGGTTAGGCTAATTTCTGTCCTCGCTACTTCGCAGTCGAATGGTGTGCTAAGTTGTAGAGAAATTATTAGTGAGCCAAGTTTTGAACTTCTGTAAGCTCATTAGTGACATGCAAGATAAAGGTTCGCAAAAAGCTGGTGAATTATGAGCCAAATCGTCGAATTCAGAAAGTTGTCGAGCACAAGAGGGTAACAGACAAAACTTTTGCTCCGTCAGCAGCTTGCTAATCCCATAAAGCTCCGGTTTGGGGGGTTTTATTGTAAGGGAAAGTCTTGCAACTGCTATTTTAGGTCTTAGTGAGACAACTTTTTATTTCTTATAAAAAATTGTTTGGTTGTTGTCGTCGTGGCAGTATTGAGAGAGATTTTCCCATTCCTCGCCTCGTTCACCATTACAATGTGTAAATTTGACCGGATTAAGTGAAAGAAAGGGGAAACGTTTGAAAAATTGGTTTATGTCTCTTCATACAGTCTGTCAAGGTCTTTGGGAAACTTTAAAAAAAAACATACACCCATTTTTAGGCTTCATGAGACCTTTTTAAGTGGAACAAAGAATGTTTGTAATTAGATCGTTCAAGATTCCCCGGGAAACCAACTACAGTGAAAAAGTACTTTTACTTTTAAAATGCGTTGGTGTTCAATCACGGTTTCTTTCTTTCCAAAAAGGGACTTTCCCTAAAGTATTTCGCAATGCTAAGTTTTTGATTTCCTCTGTGGGCAGAACTCTATTGTCCCACCGCGAATGAAGTTTTAAATTTCGCTGTACAATAGGGGAAGAGTATATCGCGACAAGTTGCTGGCAGTTTTTCAGCTGTACTTTAGCCCTTCCCTGTGTAGGCTGTTGACCTCAGATCGGAAACAATAGCTTTTAATTGTATCTTCTGCTGTAAGGTGAAGTGGTTCCTTAGTCAGCTCATCATGATTTCAAAACATGAACACGCGTTCCAGCAGGTGACTTGTTGACATCCCACAAAGTTAAATTTAGCTCCAACTACTTTGTTGTCAAATTGTGAGTCAGAAAAGTCTGTTTACCTTAACTTACTCGCAAATTACGTCTCAACATGTTATTAACATGAGATCATTTGTCACTTATGCGAGACTTACTGTAAAGTGATAAAGATCTGTCTCAACAAGAATCCTTTTTCCGATACATGTTGTTTTTGTGTTTTCGGTTTTATGTTTTTAACCGGTCGTGCATGTGCTTGTGTGTAAAGGAATTGAAAGTCATTTGTCCTCTTTCAGGGTTTTGAGTACATCTGAAGACGAAGGTGAACAGCCGTCGACGTCCAGTAGTCCAGGGGCCGTGTACAAGAGAACGAGTCTTGCATCCATGTGAACAACTGAAAGAGCAGAGCTCCGCTAAAGTGCGTACACTTGCGAGCTCGATAAACCATTCTCAGTAAATGTGTTAAATGTGATTTTTGTTATGTTCAGGTTTTTTTACGTTAATTTACTCAGGTGCTGAACTATGAGTGAATCAGAGTGTGTCTTTACTTCAAATTTCTTTTAATTTATTTCTTTTCGGTTTGTAATAGAAAGGTCAGCCGTGCTTTTTTTTGGTAGATGTTTATTCAGGTTATAATGCCGTTTTCAAAGCTTTGTTCATCCTATTTTATGTACGTTGTTTAAATACGAAATTTAATTCACATATCTGTTAAAAATTTAGCCCTCTCCATTTCAGAGGTTGCGTGAACGAACCTCAGGAGAGTAATTTTTACGCTAGCGCATCGTTATGGGAAGGAAGCTTCGCTTGTAACTTTGATACTGATTTATTTGGAAAAATCCTATTGAAAAAAAAAATATATTTAGGGAGGCTTTGGTTTTACAGAGCGATCTCTCAAAAACTCGAATAAACGCCACGCGTGAAAAAATCAATCACATTTAGTGATCAAAGCTCTATTAATTTATATCTAAATGTCTTCTTTTTGGAAGACAAATCACATTTGGTTTTACAAATGTCTGATTCCTAGAAGGATCTTATGTGTTTCTATTAACGCGAAAGCTATAAAATGACGCATTTCCGAACGTTAATGGCACTACCGGTTTTGATTGCCTTTTTTCTTTCATCCATTTTGTAATGCTACCAATTTTTTCGTTATACGCAATTGCTGTGAATTTCTCGCGCAAGATGGCGGCAAAAGTTTGGGCCAAATTTTTTCGTAGTTAGGCTAAGCTATTAGGTATTTTTCCTTGAGTACAAGTTACTAAAGTTGAATTTTTCTAAAGATGGAGAAACGCCCCCAATTCTTTTCCTTTGATTTGGTGTGCAATCAAAATACTTTTGAAATGGTTGTTCAGATCATTTTGCACTTTGGATGAAGTCATCACTTTGAATTTTTCGCTTGTATACCGCCTTCTTTGGCCGCCATTTTGCCGAAATACAGTTTTGTTTAATTCATTTGTACTAAAGGATATATTTTGTTTGCATAAAATTGGTTATTATAAAAAGCTGGCTTTTAAGAGTAATATTTTTTTCTATAATGATTTTTATGTTTGCTTTCGTCCAAATTTTAACTCCTTCTCTCCCTGACAAAGCGATGGTTTTAGGTTTTGGAATCTCTTGCCGCAAAATCAGTTGTGTTGGCTTTGAAACGAAAACCATTCACTACTTTTATGTGATGTTGTAATTCTTTTGAAATGTGTTCTTCTCATGAAATTACCTTTGATCTGCATTTTTAAAGATAAATATCTTTTTGGTTTGTCGTGTTAATTTTAAGGAGTGAAGGAGTTAAATCATTAATGGTGAGAAATGCTATCTTTTTATTGATTCTGCAGTTCTCGAGAGATAAGAAGTTTCCGATAGTAGAGCAGTATATTGCTCCATAAGATGAGATCTATTTTGAAGGATTTCTGTCTTTTTCGAGAGTCTTGTGGGATTTCCCTACTATGTTTGTCTTCCTTCGTAAAACAAACATTCTTGTAGTTTGCAATCATTTTAATTACACGTAACTTGCCTGGAAGTCGTCGCATACGCTCGCTCGCTGACTTGGGTTTTGCAATGGGTCTTTGATCGAGGTGTCATTTTATAGAGCAATGAATTAAAATCGCAATCCTAAAACTTACAGTGTGGATCTCTGACTTGTTTACTATTTGCATAAGCAATGCTCTCCGCAAGTAACGAGTCCCGTATGAAGATTAAAGCAAGTTGGTTGGGCGGGACGGGCGAGTCGGAGATGTTTTGTTTTATGTCGCAATTTCTGCGATGGTTAACCCATCCTATTTGACTCCAGGTATGGATGGACGTCCCTTCAATTTTTTAGGACTTTTTCTCGGTTTCAGACGTCAAACAAATAAATTGAACGAGACTGAACACGTTTCGGCTGAGCCATAGCGTGTCAAATTTGACTTATAAAATGTTCCTATTAGGTTTTGAACATGGAAGGAAAAGCGCTTATTTGTCATTATATTACCATGAAGATACGCAACTCTTCTATGTGAGCAAAACATTTGTAGGTTTGGTGTCTACCTCTAAATCAATTTCCCTCGATGAAGCGATGAGTTCAAATCTGTTTTCTTTTGCCATTACTCATCGCAAAGGAAACCTGTATGTTTCTCTACGTAGGTTTTTGGTTATTTGTTATTGTTTCCGAGGATGATTATCCTAATCCTTCATAAATTGAACTTTAAGTAGCCGTAGATAATCTCATATAGCCTTGACCTCATCTCACGGAAACATACGGAGGAAATCACTCCCTAGCTTACGATAAACAATACTCCGACTTGTCTGCGTGTGAGATGGACTGCGCGGTGGAGGGGGAGAGGGGCTGGGGGAAGACGTGCCTTCATAACTGTAGAAATTCATGCATGTGCAAGTCTAAGCTTATGAATATTGACATCTCATGGAATTAACAGAAAGGTGAGGCTCCACCCTCTTCCCTCCACCCTTTCGGATAATTGCTCTCTCCCACTCCTGGTAGAAAACTTTTTGGAGTAGGTTATACTTTATCGGAAACTGTAGTTGAAGGATTTAAGGGAAATCTGCTTAGCCTTACACGTTAGTGGGCTAAAAGGAGGTTTATAGGTGAAGGTGATCGGGAAGGTTACATCAACACCAAGGTATTGATGACTAGCTAAAAAAAATTTTTTTGACGAGTTCTCTTGTTCAAGAGAACTTACAAATTTGAATACCTTTTAAGGCCCTGTCACTGGATGTTGCTAGGTCAGTTTAACACAGAAAAAAGGATCCCCTCTCTCTCAAAATAAGTCGGATAAATTTAGTTGTTTACAATAATGTTTCCAACTGTTAATGCAAACACCGTCGGACAAAATTGAAATCTGCCAAATCATTTGATATGATTTTTGGATAATCTCTACAACGGATTATGTTTTATTTAAATCGTACCAGTTGGCGCTTTTCCAGACAGGTTTTTAATTAACGGTATACACGCAATACGGAAAACAAACGGTAATTGTTTATTCAATTCATCTACGGCGCTGGAGATCACGAAGACATAAATGCTAAATTTTGTTGAAGGACTTACACGAGACTGGGATGGATAGAAAGATAGCCAGATTTTTCAAGTTTGTCACAGACCCGTTCGCCTCTCAATCGAATACCTTCCTTGTTCATTGTCCGTCCATTTTTTCATCTCTCATGTTTGTTTAAACGTAAAAAAAGCTATCATTTTTATGTTATTATGGCTTAACGAAAAAAATCGACAACAGTAACACAATGAGAAATTTCGTGATATTTGCAATTGGACAGGGGCAAGGCTTGAATACTCGCCCAGTCGCCCTTGGAAGAGGTCCAGTGTTATCAATTTATAAAATCTAGAAAGAAAAAAAGACAAATAAGGAACGAAATAATCAAATGGGTGTCTAAGTGTGGGATTACAATGGCTTAATTTCACCACACTTTGGGATTGGTCCAGAAATCTCAATCCATTTTCTAAAACAACCAGACGCAAAACCAATTAAAGCATCAAGTATTACATGTACTTCACTTTTTTTTTTCGCCTAGTCCAGCATGCACTTCGAGGTGCTTCAAACAGGTTGCCTGTCTTGACTATTTGTTTGTTTGTAATGTATTGTACAGTTCGTATCACTTAGTGTGGCCACGAACAAAGATTGTCACAGTAGTAACTGGCGGCAAATCTTTTCCTCTCCGAACCATCTGTTATTATGAGAAAAAGAGGATTGAACTTGGTAGGGAAGAATTTAGCCGCAAACTGAACAAATTGCGCGAAACAAACGGGAACATCAGAGACATGCATTACAGCCCTAGCTAAATAGGGAAAAAGAGTTATCATACTACGCAATGCAAGTTCTGAAATACTTTTATTCATTTCTTAATAAAAGTTGTAACAAGCTTCATCTTTTACTTAAATATAGTTTTAGTTAATTTTAATGTCTATAAAATTACAAAGACGAAATTAATATTTTACATAGGTGTGTTGCGCAGAAATATGCACAAAATATTCACGATAAGTTGTTCAATGATAATATTTAACATCAAAATTACCCTTGGTTTTGAGATAAATCTTCCTCCAGAAGCTTACGAGTTTCGGCCCTTTTTCGAGCTTCATTACATTTACTGATATAAAATCTAATTAATTAAATCTGTTAATGTAAAATATTGTCACCCAGTTGAACCCAGCAGCTTCTCAAAATAACCATCAATTTGCTACTTGAAGTTTAAAAAGCTTAGGGATTCACTGATTAGATGCAAAACTCTAAAGAGAGTTCCTCAGAGAATTATGCTGAGGTTTAACGTTCTAGGCTGAAATTTCAAGATTTAAACTTTAGTATTGTTTATTTATCGGAGAAACCATTTGCAACGTTCCAGTTTAGCAACTTTCACATAGTAAAAATGTATCTGCATTTATCAGGAGTGCGAAGACATTTTCTCTTCCACAGCTTCTACAGTCTCTTTTTGCTCTGCGCTCGACGCAGTAAAATTTAAGTTGACGATATTTCGTTGCAGGACTAGTTGAATTATTCACTCGACTCCCGTTGAATCTAGGGAGAAATTCCTTATGAAAGCATCCACTGTACTGGTTGAACAAGTGCTCCTGGATTGTTAAAGAGAAATCAAAAGATAAAGAAGACGTTGGCAAGTGGACTTTACATAACTTCTCCACACGATATCAATACATAATTTGACAAACTGGTATATTGAAAATTTATCTAAGCTAATTGATCTAAGCAAACCAAACCAATGCAATGCACAATCGGCTCTTACCCATAACGACTCGTTCCTTCCCTTTGCGGGGGAGCGGCCATAGCTTCTGTTGTAGGCGTCGTATCTGTTGTGAAATCTTGGCCACTATGAACTGATCTGCCAACGTTTGCTGGTTCATGTAGAAACTTTTGGATCTTCGTTTCTGGCAGATGCCCCATATCCTGACGCATGCAACAAAAATGTTTCCAAATTTTGAATGAAATCAATCCGTTACTGCGATTGCTTAAATTGTAGTCCTTCTGGGATGATCATTTCTTTGGTTCAATTTTCATCCGCAGGTCAAATAAAATTTATTTCATTAAAAAAAGTGTGATCAGATTCCTTTACAGAAAATAATAACCCTCTAAAATATGTCTCGCTCCTAACGTGTGGATTTCTTACTCAGTTGGTAGTCGCGTCCAACTAGTATCTGGGAGGCCTGGGTTCGAATCCTGTCGAAGCCCCTTTTTCGGCTTCTTTTTGGCGATTGTTTGAATTGCAGTCCACCAAAGGATCATTTAATGTCTCTGCTTAAAAATATTCTCGAATCTACCTTGTGAAAACCAAAGATAGAGAATAAATACAACACGTTTGATCTTGCCAGATGTAACATTTCAACAGCTTGAAGGAAGAGCAAAAGTTCGAATTCTACATACCTTTAGTCTCTCATATGTATCCCCAATAATACCAATGAATAAACTCAACACCACATAAATGAAGAGCGTGATGAAGGTGTAGATGTAGATCTTGCTGAATATCCACACACTGAAAGGGCTAGTGGATCTTGATATCTCCGCATAAGTATTATAAAGATCATCTCCATTGATCATTGAATATAAACACTCTGCAGTTATAACGAGCGACTTAAACTGGAATGAAACATGAAGGCATGAAAAGTTAAACCTTGGAGCCTTAACCCTTTACCTCAGGAGTTTCTAATTTCTCCTTACAATTTCATTCTTGAATCACACATTAAAGGAAATGATCACCCACTAAAGAACCTCTTGATTGTTCCACATATTCTCCGTTTCAGCACCTTAAGAAATTTATAAATAACAGCATGGAGAATGCGCATACTGACGTTCAGTTGAAGAGGTGCTACACTCTTTCACACCTCTCGCCAGCTTGGTTCGCGCAAGGGCTTATACTTTCTGCAGGCAAAGAAAAACTCGTGCAGCACTGATATAGCCTGCACTGCAGGTGTCTTTTAAGTGCGAGCTAACGTCATAAGCTAGCGATCGTTTATCCTACGGACCGTGTTTGACTTGGAGTTCGAATGGACGGTGGGGTAGGGGGTGGGGCAAGGGCAAAAAGAAATCTTCCTCCGCCCCACCTCCACCCTCTCCTTATTTTTGACTGTCGACCGCCCCCTCGGTGCTATTAAAAATCAAAGATGGCGGCCATAATTTTTGTTAAGAAATATGGATTTCTGACTACTCGCTCAACCAAAATTAATTATGGAAGGTATAAGGCTAGTGCTGATAAAGAATGCCTTCTTGCAGGCTGACCAGATTTTTAACTCAGACTTTTCTATCAGGAGTCATAGTTTTAATTCAGGTTTGTTTGCCGAAGAACTGAAAATAATTTTGTGTTCCATTTAATACTGAAATACAGAGTAAAGAAAGAAAAAATGGACCGCAAAGAATCACGTCAACTTAACTATACCATAACAAAGCATTACCAAATACCAAAATAATACTACAATTGCATCAAGTGTTAAAAATAATAGGCTGTGAGGGTCTTTGTCAAATAAGAGGGCAAGTGAACAAATGCAAGATAAAATGGCTAAAATTCGTCCTTGAAGTTTACCTTAGGATGGAAAGGACCAAAGGCAATCCAGCCGCAAAACATAAAACCAGCAAATATCAGAATCACACATATGAAGAATCTGGCCATACTTGGAGTCGCCGCCTTCAGAGTCTCTAAAAGAATCTGCAGAAATATCCCCAGAAATTATTATCCTGAGCAGAGAAATGTGGCATTATTTTGTCAACTAATTAAACAGAACGCTCAATTCTGAGCCAAAATACTCAAGAATGACTGCAAATACATGAATACAATATATTTCAACTGTATATTAAAAGTGAAGATAAGAGTGATCTTCACAGTAATGAATACTACTTATTTTAGCAATAGTAAAAATCAAGCCTGTGAAAAATTCAGGCCTGTACAGGAGTTGAACCCGTGAACTCTGCAAAACAGGTGCAGTGCTCTACCAAGTGAGCTAAAAAAATCCAAGGTTGTTGCCAATTCCATTATCACTTTTTTTAATGTTCTTTATTTTCATATTGCCACTATCCTCATTATTATTATGATTATTTTTTTTTTTATCAGTATTAACATCATATCAGGACATTAGGCCAAAAGTGTGTAGAAGTTCAGCATTAAAATTGTGACAGAAAACATAAAGAACAATTTTGACATTGCAGCAGTCAAAAACCTGTACTATCATTATTTTTATCGTAGGGAGTTCAAAAATTTAAGCACATTACGTTGTATTTCTTTGAGTAGCCAAGGAATCGAAGAAGACCAATCCAGACCAAAAGAACTGCCGTTCCCAGAAATATACTGCTGACATTATAGAAATCACTATCCTGAAAGACAGTCAGAACATTCCCATTTTAAAATAAGTGTACCTCTTGAAAAGGAAACATAAGTTGAGTTTTCTCAATAGCACTTCCAAGAATTTCTTATCTCAAAGTTTAAAAATGACATAAACTGGTCCCTGTCCCATGAGTCTGGGTATGACCAGAAATACAACAGTAAGTCAGGCACTAAGAAGACAGGTGAATAGGCAAAATTCTCAGAAAATATTCTGAACCAACAAACTTATCTTTTCAGTTGTTGACCCATTTGACATGTAGTACATGTATGTATGCTTTACGTGGCAAGGTGTGCCGAAAAAATTTTGACTTAATGTGTTCAATCCATTTTTTTTCTGGCTTGTGTCCAACATGCAGGCTAAGAGTCAATAACAACACATGATGCACATTAGCATTGCATGATGCACATTTCTCTGCCAACGAGAGGTTTTGAGACAAATCAGGAAGAGAATTGTCTGGGGTCTGGTACTAATCTCCACTCATGATCAGTCCCAGACCCTTTGCAGACCTCTTGCCTGCTCATATTGTACAAGCTGAAGCACTAATAATGAGGCCTGCTTGCAGGTTAGCTGAAGAAATCAAGAAGATTCCTATCAGAAATAGCTTTGCAGTAAATTACTGCCTTTGAGAAGTATTCGGTTGTGATTCATGTTTCTATTCTTCTCAACTCTCTGGATGTGAGTAAGGGAAACTCTAAAAGGAGAAATAGCATTTTGATCTGAGATCACCTTTTGATCAATGACCATTTTGTATACTGAGCCAACAATTGTGAGGACATCGCTAGACATGATAACAATAAACCATAGACTGACAAACTCCTGGTAATCGGAGAAGGTGAAGTCTTCATGAAGATCACTCTTGAAAAAGCTGGCAGCCTCCTTCCGTCATAAAAAAAAATAAATAGAAAAGCATTAAAAATGATGATGGATGCAAAGTTATGGATAATTTTTATGTGCAACACAGGAAAAGCAAAGTGTTGTGGGCAATTACATGCACACTCACTAAGGTTTAATATTGATCAATTTTCTAATCCTGACGAGGAATTAGCTTAGAGTGTAGTGTTGATAGCATAAAAAAATGTGAAACAGCTCCATAGCTCACTTTCCTTGGTGTGACTTTTCTAACACTTTTTGAATTTTCAAAAATTTTACCCTCCTTAGCTTCCTCCTTAGAGTGTCTACCAACCCTAACACATCTCACTGTCTTTCCTATCCTTCTCCCTACTCTCTCCTCTCCCCCCTCAACTCTCCATCACCCCTTGCCTACCTGTCTAATTTATCAACAACCCTTCATCCTTTTCACCTTTCACTTTTTCACCTTTTTCCTTCTATGCAACCCTGTGTCTGTTCCCTTCTGAATCTCCCAGTTCCAACCTCAACTCTCAGTTGTCCTCTTCCTCCATTCTTGGCTAAATTGTCAACCCTTACCACTCTCTCTCCATTTCCTTTCCCTTCTATTCACTCAACTCTATTGCCCATCCAACTCTCTCTTTCCTATTTTCAAGTCCTCTTCACCTCTTCCCAGCCCCCCTTCCTCAGTTACCTTCCCTCCTGTCCTCCCCATCTCATCTCCTTACATTCATTTCCCCCTTCCTACCTGTCTCTCCTTCCTTTATTGACTCTTTCCAATTTACCACGATCCTCCCTGTTTGCTACCTCAACCCTTTGTTGCATCACTCATTCCCAACCTCCTCTCTTTTTCTTCCCATTTCACTACCTCACTTTCCTTTCATTTTCATCACCTTCTCCACTCCCTACCAACCTTGCATACCAGTAAAAATATCTGACCATCCTCCCTTCTTCCTGTCTCTATCCCATTCTCTCTATATCCATATGTTCTCTCCTTGTCACCCACAGTATGTATCTATATGCAAGAATTAACAATATCTTTCTTCAGATCTTGCTCTCTTGAAAAAGAAATACACTTTCTTATACATGTACATGCTCTGTGTGTTCCATTGACTCAATATGATTTGATCAGTAAAATAGTGGTAAAGTGTATATATAACCTTGGCCAACTTAAGAGATTTGTAAATTGATCTTGTGCATAGCATAAGAGATAGAGCGCAGAAGGAGATAACAATGACATCAAACATCACCAAGGTAGTAGTGATGAAGTGGGTTCCTGAAAAAGTAAAGTATTGAAAACTTATAAATTTAACAAATCGAAAGTGGTTTAGCATGGTCTGTTCTCCTATTGACAAGGATGTTTGTCATCACAGTAGTCAAAATGTTATGGACTCATGTGATGGGGCCAAGTGAATGCGCAACAAATTTTGACCACTGTGATGAGGAATATCATTGTTACAAAGAGTGCAGGTACAGACCACGCTAACCACTGTGGATTTGTTTTTTACCACAACTCAGTGCATGACCAAGATTGTGACATGTTGATGCAAGCAGGGTTGACTGTACCCTTATTAACAACAGCAAATTGGCCATTCAGATTAATATTGTAACATAACTGCCAATTGTGGCAAAAATAACTTGTTTGCATCACCTGTCAGCTTCATCATTCATTACAAGTTACCCCTTCCTAAGAAAAATCCTGGATCTGCCTCCAATTACATGTTACTGTACAATTAATATCATTATTTTTTACCACAGGACAATCTTATGAACCTGTCCCACCTTTTCTTTCTTACCTTCAATAAGTAGAACAGCATGAGAAAATCATGTCACTTCATTTGACAACTAAAGTTTTTTTTTTAAGGTGAAACTTACTTAAGCGGTTCTGGCCCTTTATTTCTCCATGTTCGCACCGCAACCAAGTGTTGTTCATATCAAGGTCAACTGGCATTCTTCCATCATACTTCACATTATCAAATGTAATCTAAAAATGACAATAACAATTCCTTCTGTCAGTCAGTCTTTAGAAGTCACAAAACTAAGTCAGGTATCAATCATAATTCATGATTGCTATGTAATGCAGTTTTTTTGTCCAATATACAAGTATATTCAGAAAATTCCAGCAGAATGTATAATTTATAGTGAAAGTGGTATGGCTGCACTAATACTGAAGACTTTTTTGTTTTAAGTTGCAGATGATCAACGTTTTTTTAATAAAACCCTTTAAACCCTGAGGGTTACTACATGCACCTTATCTCTCCTTACAATATCACCCTGAATCAAACATTAGGGAACCAACTACAGAAACTCTTGATTGTTAAACAAATTCTCCTTGTCAGCATGTTTAGGAATCTATAAAGAGTGCTATGGAGAATATCCATACTGATTTTAGGGTGTTAAGGGTTAAACAGTGGTTAGCCAGGGATACAGTGTCCATGGAGTTCTGGTAATCTAATGCTACTGTACGCTTCTTTTGAATTTAATCATTTGATGTGAAAGACCTGAGCAAATTAACTAACACATGTCAGTGAACTTAATTAGATGCAATACACTGCTAACTCAAAGACAGGGGACCTCCCTGCACTGGCAAAAAAGTTGTTTATTTAGAAAAATTTTTTGTCATCACCACCATATTACAAGTGCTGATGGTTTGTTGCGACTTGACAAATGTTGGCAAATCTTCAAAATAATGCAATACATGTTGATAAAATTTGTGGTGGGTAAAAAATGGATAAAATTGAATTACTAAAAAAACCGAGATGAACTGTCAATCATTTCTCATAAAAGCTACAACCAACATTTAATAATTAAAACTGAAATGATTTTACTAGAAAGGCAATAATTGTCTTGTGTTATAAATATTGGGGATTCTAAAACTTTAAAATGACTTAGGATGAATCCTAGAAATTGGAGTTGAAATTTTTTGGCAAACTATGCTGGCTGGTCTTTAATGTACAGATCAGGCACTGACAGAATTTGTCAGCTTTGAAATTTTTCATGCTGATGCAACAAATAAAACAGAAATTTGTCAAGACAAAATTTGTCCTTTGAATTTGTCAAGACAATTTTAGTTTTGTCTGCAAGTGCAGAAAGGCCCTAGTTGGCAAAACTAATGATGAATTCAAAACTAAAATTAGATAACTTCTCTGACTTGCAGAAATTCAAAAGATTTGTTCACACTTAATTCACTGTCCAAAATAGGAAGCACAACAAAATAAAGTCAATTTTTTTTCTTAGGTTCTGTTTTTTTTTTCATATTATTCCTTCCCTTTTACTTCAAATTCAGTTTCCAACTCACCATTACACTCAGTTGATAACAGGCTGGCTTATCCCAGGCTTTGACATTCTTCAAATTCACTGTCTTCAAGGAAAAATTCAAGCTGATGTGACGTAACCTAATTCAATTGAACAATATGATGTTCTTATTTGAACAGCAACAAGCTGTTAAGTGGCCTGCATGAAGTTGGTACTTATAATTAAAAATTACAATAACTGTTTTGAGAAAGATGTTTTTTGTCTTGTCAACTGGGACAAAGAAAAAGTTCTGAGTCCTCATGAAGAACACTCCTCAGACCTTCAGTTTCTGTGCTCCCATGCTCTACCACTGTCAGCCAAAGAGACTCTATGGCAAGCAAGGCTCATTATGAAGTTCAAATATGACATGTGTCTTGCATACTGCTAGGATCAGCAATGTTGATATTGTCATGTTTTGTAAATAGAATTGGCAAGACCGTATGTTTTAAGCTCGCTAAAGAAATAGAGAAAGATGTTTTTGCCTTCTCATGAGCAAGGGACATGTCCATATGAGGAATCAAACCTTACTGTTGTCTCCTGATTATCTTTAAGGGATTGCTTTATCTGGGATATAGGTAGATATAAAGGGTCTGCCCATCTGCCCACCTGCCCAAGCCAAAATATTTGAGGTAACCATATCTAATACCCTTCAATGGAATTGAACTCTGAGGTAATCAAAAAGGCTAATAAGCGCATAATTTTCTTGATCTTCCTAAAGCAAGAAAATGTTCCGGCTCATTATATGATCTGCTTCTGTCTTACCTACATTAGGCTGGTGTTAGAGTATTGCACACACTTATTCCACCATGCATTTCCTGCTCACTTAAGGAAAGACCTAGAGCATGTTCAGAGGCCTGCGCTTTTTGCAATTTCTCGTGGCCTTTCATTACATCACAATCTAGCATTGCATAACATCAGATCTTTGAAAGACAGGCACCAAGAACAGTGTTATACTCTTTTTGACTCAGTTGTATCCACAGTGTAATATTGCACATAAACTCCAACATCTGCTACCACCCAAGGACAATAGCAGAAACAATTTTAGAAACCAGCTCCATTTAATGTTGCCAAAAATGTGCATTAATCATTATATGAGCACATGTATTCCATCCATGTCCAGTTGGTAGAACTTTCATAATGTATTTTTTTTCTGTACAGTCATTTTACATTGAATATAAAATTGTTATTTCATACATGTATATATAACTTTAACTCTTGGCAAATTCCATGCAATGCAGCCTTAGGAGGCTGTGGAATTTAAACATTTTGATTAACTATCTAATATCTATTTTTATCTAACAGATCTATAAAAGAAAATTGGCAGGGGGAGCGGGGATTCATATTCTCAGCCCCTCTACAAACTGATCCCAATTTAATTTGATTCCTTGCTGTATCCATATGCTACTAGCTTTTAATTAATTTAATAGTATCAGTAGTCTCTACATAACAATCTTTGCCCCTCAGCTACTGTTTGAAAGTAAATGTTGGTAATAAAAATGCTTCCTACCTTCCCAGATTGAAGGACTTGTTTGTAATAATGTGCTCGTGGTTTATAGGACGACCCAGATAAAAGCACACTACCAAAGAAAAGGACATCGTAATGAATAAAGACTGAAAGTTGAGATTTAATTGACGTAATAGAATTTAGGCGGCCATTAATTATTCCAAACAAACAAAGGTCATATAATACCATACTATTTAGTTCTAAATGACTAACTTCTATCTGCTCCCCAGATATCATTAGTAATTCTCCTTACTGTCTGCCACATAGTTCTTGTGATCTTAGTTCAGAGAATTTGGTATTGGATCAACTAATAATCCCATAATTGATATTCTTCTCTATTCTCATCACCTACCTGCTTGATGTTGTATTGATATTGTAAGGAGAAATTCTATATTGGTTGCTCATGGGAGTTAAAGGGTTAATGTTGTTTAGTGAATGCATTTACATCTTTGTAGCTATGGCTTACCACAACAATTTTGTGGCAACCATTATTCCAAACAACAAACAAACTAATTACAAGTTCAATCAGCAGAGTTTGAAAAGGCAAGAATTTTGACATAGTAATGCTTGAAATACAAACAATTGTGTTACATGTACGTACAAAAAAATACACCTCTCAGTTTCGGATGAAGTGGTCATATTGATCTGCAAGACAGTGCTTTAACTCCCAAAGAAATTCTCAATTTACACGATTGTCAGTACAGAATCAGTGACTCACCATTTGTTATGTTGGGATCGAATACATATGTGTTGTTTTCAATTCCTCCATTTTTGTAGTAGCTGTAACATAGTTGTACTTTTGGAGGTTCAGTGCCATTCATATATGTGTAGTTATATGTTCCAAGAGGGGCTGTAGTGATTTGATAATACTGAAAATTAAACAAAAAGCAAAACAAAACTAAAAAAGATTGAAGTAAATCAAGATTAGTGCTGTTGCTTTACCTACATGTTTCAATCTTATAATCATGGGCTACACTGCCTTACTGTAGGACACAAGGCACCCTTATTCAATGCAGCCTGGTTAGCTTGGTTGACTAATCAGGCCCTGGGTGTTTGAAGGTTGGATAACCCTATCTACCAAATAAAGCCCTATCTAGTGAAAAGTGCAATACGTTTTTCTCACACTTGTCAGCTGGATAGCAATTTATCCATTTTTTGTATTATCCATCTTCTGAGCAACTGGACACAGATCGAAATGCCACAGTTTGACCTGATAATCATTGCATTTGGTTCTTCTTGACTATGAATTCATTGGGGTGGGAAATTTGAGATGGAAGTGTCAAGTCTCTCCAGTGGAATACAAGTGTTATATCTTTAATTATGAAGGTGCTTGAGGTAAATCTTTCTCTTTAATGAGTGAATGTCTCAGAGGAAGAGGTCTACAGGGTCAAACTTTTAAAGCTTGGTCAATGTGTAGAGAGTCACTGCCGCTGATCTTGCCTTTTACAAAGAAAAAATGGGTTAAGCATTTGACCATGAATTATGCCCCTTGGGCACCAATTTACAAAAGTTCAAATGCCTGTGGGGTTGCCCAGGGGTTACCAGCAGGGGGATGTTGAAACTTTGAATTAATCGACACATAACACAACACTCCTATAGTGTCTTGCTTCACCATAGGGGTATACATGAAAATGATTTGGAATCTTGAACACCCTCACCCAACCACCCTTGGAGTACATATATACAGTAGAATCATTTGGCATCCTTAACCCTTTAACTTCCATGAGTGACCAAGGCAGAATTTCTCTTTATTACATCTATACAATATCATGCAGACAAGTGATGAGAATAAAGAAAAATATCAATTATGGGATTACTAATTAATCCGATAACAAATTCTCCAAACTAACATAACGAGAATCATTTGGCAAACAATAAGGAGAATTACTAATGAGATCTTGGAAGTTTAAGGGTTAACACCCTCTCCCTTTGGGTGACTATGCAGCCTTTGCCCATCTCTCAATGAAAAATTCAGAAAAATTTTCTAGGCAAATTGGCAGCCACAAAGAGTTTCTAAAGCTGACATTTCAATCCTTAGCCCTTTGCCAGAGTGAAGGCTGATGGGCTGAGGCTTGAAACATCAGCTTAAGAGAAACTCTCTGCAGTAGCCAATTTTAATTAATCAACTCAGTTGGTAAAACCAAATTCTCTTGTAATACCACCTAACACAGTACCAAAGATTTTTATTAGAAAAGTACTTAATATGTTTAACTGATGTTACAAAATGTATACCTGTTCATGAGCGTAGTGAAGATAATCATAAAGTTCTTTCCTTGTGTACACAATAACATCTTGCTGTTTTCCCTGATAGTTTTTTAGAAACAGGTGTCGCAAAGCAATGTGGTTATGCTCCAGGAATGTAACCAAAGAAAAACGATCCAGTCCAAATAAACATATCTGTAATCAAATATGCAAAGTCCATGTATTATGCACAAACAAATCTTAATCAAACTTACATCTGGTGGAAAACTGGGAAATTCGCCACCTGCAATACCTATCAATACTACCTAGAGATCACCTCAAATTAAACAGGTTAAAGGATTGCTCTACCAGTTTGAATATGTTTATGAGTATTGTGGACATTTCTTGAGAATAATTCATTTTTTCATTCAATTTGTTACTTTTTTGGTTGCATGCTTCCACAAATGAATTTTCTTTATTTTCAAAATAAAAATTTCATTTTCCTCCATCATTCAAACTTAAAAATTTACCATAGAAAGAAAGAGGTTTCACTTTTAATTTATATGTTTCTTTTGGAATCACAAGGGAATCTAAAATTAGCATCATTTCAAGTCCCAGGCACACAGAGGAATTTGTTGATCTTAGTAGTATGCAGCCAGTGTGTTATAATTGCAAATGAATCATCAGGTGATTAATTAATTAATGTGAATTTATAATATTTTAATCAACTGAGTTGATGATGCAATGGGCCACCGTAGAGAGTGTCTAAAGCTGACATTTTTAGCTCCAATGAAGGGCTAATGCTAGAAATGTCAATTTTAGGAACTCCGTTGATAATCTTCAATTCTTGTAATACCCTCAGCGATGCAGAATCACAGCTTCCTTAGAAACTAACACTTTTACTCACAAATAATGGCCTACTTCGCCGTGGGGTACTATACAACTCAGTGGTGGGGCTTTATGTTGCGAAAGCGGATCACTGTAATTTGCCAAACGAAACGAAACGAAACGAAAATCTGTAATTTGCGAAATGGAATATGCTAATGATTTGCAAAATCTACGTGATGAACTTTGCGAAATCTCCACTACGTTCGTGAATAACTCAAATGCGTCGTTTAGGCCACAGAGCGCAAAAGTAATTTGAAATGTTATTTGACGCTGTAGCTTTACTGTCTATAAGGTGCAGTCAATGCGCGTTGTCGATGAATGATTCGAATGCGTGACACGACACTTACTTAACCGTAACTGCACATGGAAAGTGTCGCAGCATGTTTCTAGATGAAATATCATGTTTGCTGGGAAAATGTAACTGACTCGAGCTCTTTTATTTTCTTGAGTCTCGGAATAAAATTCCAGATTTTGCTAAATGAAAATATGCTAATGATTTGCAAAACAGAAATCCGTAATTTGCGAAATAGAATTATGCTTATGATTTGCACAATAGAAATTTCTACTTTGCGAATCATTAGCATACTTCCATTTCGCAAATTACAGATTTTTATTTCGTTTCGTTTCGTTTCGCAAATTACAGTTAGCCGCGAAATCTGAGGATCAGAAATTCAATTCCACACAGGCATTCACCTTTTTCTCTGTCCGAGATTCACGATAAGACAACAAAATATTTTACTTCACTTCGCGTTCACAGTATAGATTGTATCGGTAAAACAGGCTTTTATAGTATCTCTGTCAAATAATGCAACAACGCGTACCAACGACTCTTTTCATTTTGTTCTTCGGCTGAAAGCGGGTAATGGGCGATAATTTTTGGACATATTTCTTCACTGTTATGATTCACTTGACACTTGCAGTGTTGTAGAAACTGGCAATGTCAAGGCCCGTCCTCCACTCGTTTCCCAATAATGAGGCGTAGCCCCTTATATTTATGGATAAAAACGCAGAAAGTTTGCTCTGTACAATAATTTCACCCACTGAATCTTACCTGGATGGTAACAAGCAAGACTTTCACGATCTGAACGACCAACTTCCATGGCTTTCTCCGTCTGGCCCGAAATTTTTGAATAGGATTCATGTAGTGATATTTGATCTTCGTCTTCATGATTTCTCGTTGACTTGGACTCGATTGCAAGCTTGCCATGGCTTCGCTCCCGTCAAAACTAGAGGAAGTGTCGTTTTGGGCCTGCTGCTCATTAATCGAACGATTTATCGCAGAAGTTTGGTCCGTTTCGTCATCCGCTTCTTCCTCCAGAACAGTGCCCAGTTCACTTGAGTACGAACGCGCAACAGACGATTTCCGGGAAATTTCTCTGGTTGGAGAGGTCATAATAACAATTAATTGTCACGTTTTCTTTACAGGAGGAGGTCAAGCTTTAAATCAACGAAGAGGATCTTAAGAAGATTTGCAAAGCGTCCAAATATACAACTACACACTGATTTTCACTTGATTCCAGTGATGTTTTGAAATAATCACATGACGATTTCGTGTCCGTGACTGTCAACTTTATTGTTGCGTTACCTTTAAGAACTTTCACAAACAATGTATTTTCGCCCCCTCTATATCTGTATTTTGAATTTACAGAACAAAAGAAGTACTCAAAAGAAATTGACTGAAGCAAAAAGTCGTTTGTCGGCTGTAAGATAAGTTATTTGAAGTAATCTGCTTTGAACCTGCCTTCATACTTTGGAAAACCCGGATGAAGTTCTTCACGCAATCATTGTGAGTCAGCGTTAACCTCATCGTCAGCTTCTGAAATAATCCAAGATGGCGACCCCAGCAAGCGGTAAAGATGAGCTTGGTAAGTTTACATCGTCTGTTTTCCTCTTCTTCTAGCGGTTTTATTAGCTTAGAGCAATATTGAAATGAATTGAATTGTCCTCATTTTGTAAGAACTTCTCGAAAGAGTATTTCTACGTGTTGCTTCGGCCGAATCCGATGACCAGCTGGAGAAGACAGTGAAAACGTTTTTGTGCCCGCTTCTTCTAAAGGTTTCTAGTCCCCATCAAGAAGTCAAGAATAAGGTGTGTAAGTGAGAAAGAAGTAATTCTGTTACATTTAATGAAAACTTCCTCGTTCTATCTTCTTAATTCGAAAACGCCGAAACCTCAAAACTGAAAGTTCCACATTACTATAATTTTAACTTAGCTTGATTAATGCATATGCTCACGCCAGGAAGGTACATTTTTTAACTTATCATTTTTAAAAGTATCTCTATAATTAAAAGAAGGGCTATAAATTATCAGTTATATTAATTTTAAGCAATGTTTTTGCATCCATTTTTAAAAACGGAATTACCCCACACGGTATGGTATCTTGTGAGTCTTTGGATCACATTTCAAGGCAATCCGTAAAGTTTACATACCCTATTAATTTGTTCAAAGAAGGCACATTTGCGTAAAAAAGAAGAAGGCTATTTTTGCCTCCAAAGTTTTCCTAACAATTTACGCCTTTGAGCGACCACATGTCAAGTTATGTCACATTACAACTTCACGTCGATTTAAGTGTGTACCCACGTTTCTTGGATCGTGAAGTAGTCATAGATTCATGTTGTTGAATCAGTGGGGCTCTCGTCAGATTTCACTCGTAAATGTAAGACTGCTATAGAAATCGGAATGCCCTTTGATGACGTGTGACAATTTTCATTTGTTCATCATCCAAAACTAACTATAGCTTCCATTCCGAAAATTTTGCTTTTAATTTCTTAACCACAGAAAGGCGTTTTACCTCTATAATAAGACATGTGTATGTGAGCGGCAAATGGCAAGAATTGAACTTTGTCATCTGCCTTTCATCTGTAAGGGCAGTAATGTGAAAATATATGCATTTATTGTGATTAGAAGATATTTGTGTATTTCTCTGTTGGATCTATTGGATAAGAAGAAAAATAGGCAAAATTTGCCATTTGTGTTTTCCGTGAACTATGTTAAAAGTCCTGTCCATTTCTACCACATGCTCTCTGTATCATATTCTGTTGGATGAGTGTTCTAAAACAAAATTCTTCAATTGGTTTTCTTTCCAAATGATCCAAGTTTATTTACTGAAGAATTTCTCTTTTCTCTTTCAACTGGAAACAATAGCTTAAATGTGAACAACAGAAGTTTGGAGTTCATTGACAAAAACAGCTCACGAGCACACCCATCCCACAGACACTTCCTCCATCAATTGCTTTCAAAGGCTTCTAATGAATTTCAGATTTGTAGACAGGTGTTAGGAGCTGTCAGACTCAAAGCTATATATTTTCTTAGATCAAACTCTTGTAAATTTCGATTGTGATCTAGCATGTACTTATCTGAATGTTTATGAATACATGACTTGCAAACACGCTTCACACACACTGGTAAAAGATGGGTGTGCATAAATTAAAACACCAATAACAGGAAGTAAAATACAAATGTGGCTTACAATAATCAAATATACACATTCAAGGTCTCTTTTTAAAGCTCTGAAAATGCTCTGTTTTAATAAATACAAATCAAACTTGAGAACATTGAGGGGAAAAACTTGAAGGGATAAAATGTTTTCAATCATTCTTTGGAGTTCATTGACAAGTCAAAACAAAAAGGATATACATCTACTTATAGATGCTGCCGCTGGAAGTTGCTTAATTGTGCTATTATTTCATTCCTTTGAGTCTTCCTCTAAAAGATCTCACCTTTTCCAGAATGAATGGATCCCGAACTTAGTCATTACTCTTCCGGCGGTTCTACATGCCCCCCACTCCGAAGTGAATACCCAAAGGAATAAATCAAGCCTTCTATGCACAAAATCCAGCAGTAACACCCATTTCTCAATGACACACTTAAATCAACATGAAGTTGTAATGAACACTGAAAACATGAACTACTGAAAAACGAAACAAAAAAATGGAATGATTATGCTTAGTTTGACATGAAAAAATTTATGTATATAAATAAATAAAAAATGAAAAAAATAAAAAAACAATTTAAGCTAAAAGATCTGCCTTATCCTTTAAATCAAACCAGGATCAATATTCTTAATTAGTAACAACAGCAGACATGCATATTGAAATGATTCTTTTACAAACATCACAAAGGAATTATGAGTCCCTAATAAACAGGCAACAACTCTTTTAATTAACTCCTTATCAACAAATATGAGTTAGTGAGGGGTTAGGAGGAGAATAATGTGAGGAATTTGTAATGTTTCACTCTGCAGGTAATGACCATATTGACTCATCTCAACAAGCGTTTGAAGAGCCGACCACAAATCCAGCTCCCTGTAGATTCACTGCTGTCACAATATCAAGTGAGTTGCATACACATTTACTCTCATTTTGTTTCCAAAGGCTATCATGTGTAAGCTAATCCAATGGCAGAAATTTTTGAAAAAGTGTTATTACTGGGTGCTGAAACTGATATAACCTACATCACACAACTTCTACATGTTGGTACTTACATCAACATGTAGAGGAATACAAGAACACCACCTTGAATGGAAAACAGTTCTGTAAAAAGCGTGGCTTGGCTCCAAAGAATCTTTCCAAGAATTCTATGGTCTTAAAGAAATCCAAGAACAACTTTGACTGTCTTATCAATGAAATGTTCTTGATTAATGATCTGAGTCTTAATGTACAATCTGACTCACTTATTGCCAAAGTCTTTGTGTGAGCAAAATTTTGTCTTTTTTAAATGTTTTGTTCTTGCTTTTATTCTTCATAGTTTTCTTTATGAAACTTAATTAGTTTTTTTGTGAAACTCTGTAACTAGTGTACATGATTGTTTTTTTTAATTCAACAGTTAATACACAGTACATTAATGATCATTAACACTACTGGTTTTATGGTAGCTGATGATACTTCCAGCTGTCAATAATTACTTGTGCTGAAAAGTTTTACTTCAATTTAATTGTCCATATTGATTTCAGGATAAAACAGTACCAGCCTTTGTTATTGTAAGTAATAATTTATATTTGTAACTTCCAAGTGTGTTTAGGCTCTTGTGAAGTATTTTTGTGTATGATAATTTGAATCATCCAAAAGCATAATTTCACCAGATGGGAGGTTTTTGGGAAAAACTGTGCCTGGGGTCTTGGATGCAAGACAGAGGGCACAGTTTTTCCCAATGTGGACCAACCTTGGCTGGTGAATGACATTTTTATTTTTTTCTAGAACCTAACAAATGGTTGCAAAAAGAACCTGAATGATAAAGGGCTGTAATTACAGCAAGATTCTCCAAAAAATGGAACAATTTATAAGCGAGTAGATGGTAGAGAAAACAAGGGCAATGCAAATGAAAGATAGAGGTTTCATCAAAACATATTTATTTATGTAATGATATTAAAAGGTGATTTAAAAAGGCTTCCAAGAAAGCTTCAAAATATTTTTTCGGATACCGCCTGCTGTGAGTGGGCCAGATGGGAAGAATACTGCCCACTCTTGGAACCAATCAGATTGCAGGATTTGTAGAATACCGCCTGTTCACAAACTGAGAAAAAAATAAGATGGAATAAGTAAAAAAAAAAAATTTTAATTGAATTGCTACCTGCGCAAAACCTTAGATTTTCTTTCTTTTCCTATCTTTTTTGTTTTAAGAATTTTGACATGATATATCTAAGAATGGGTTTTCCACGACTCACTCTTGCAAAACAAGCAGAATTGGCTCCACAGCTGATGAAGTGTATTCAAGATAAACCGCAACCTCAGCAAGATTGGTGAGTGATTAACATATTTTGGTTTAAAATGTCAAACAGTTACAGTTCTCTCTTACTACAGGTAGTGATGAAGTAATGGTTCAGTCTCATAACCCTTTTCTCCCTCACACCAGACTGAGTTTGATCCATAGTCTCCATTCTCTTCTCTATAGATTTCCTTGGTACTAGCAAGAATAATTTGTTTAACAGTCAAAGCTTCTTAGTTTAGTGATCATTTCCTTTATTCTCATTATCTTAAGTAATGATGCAGTAGCATTACTGTTGGGGGAAATTAGATGCTGGTTACTCTTAGGGTTGGAAATGTTAAATTATCTATTCATAGTCGCTTTGACTACTTCTTAAAATATTGTATAGATGTTGGTAGCTTGCCACTTGTAGACAGCTAAAAGTGAGAGCCAGAGACAAATGGAAAGCAAGTCTAGCTTGGCATATATTTTTTAAATTTAGCCTCCTGCAGCTGGTTTTACCAGTCTTAGGTCATTTAAAAGTTCCAGATTCCATAGAGGGAAGACAAAAGATGTTTCAATTTACAGAGAAGTCAGTGGTGTCTCAGATCTTAAAGGATTTTCTTCTTGATGTTCTGTTGATGCCATACAGGTGTGAGAGTTTTTGTCCCTTTCTATTTAGATGGAAGTCTTGTGTTGTTAAGTTCTTATAATTGTAGAGGCTGTTTTCAAATTTTATCTTATTTTAGCCAGCTATGACCATTATTTGTGATATCATTATTTGCGATGTAACAGCTGAACATAAAGAACAATGTACATGTGGCTTGTGTAGCACTTAACAGAAGTGATCTTAAAGTTTCAATTGTTGGCCATCATTCATGTGCAAATTAAATCTGATTCTGCAGTCTCAATCAATATCCCTCCCCTGTCCCCCTCATTCCCTCTTTCCCCCCCCCCCCCACCCTTGGCAATCCATGGGCATTTGATTGTCATCCATGCCCAGGTGTGGGAAGTTTGAACATTGCCTGGGTGGGGTGGGGAATTTGAATCTGTGGAATACTTTCTTGTGATTTAATTTTAAACATGGAGGATTTTCAAGAAAAGGAGTCCACTTTCATAAGCAAATTTTCACATTGAAGAATAATGTTTACAAGCAAAGAACTCAACAGCAGGGCAAAAAACTTAATTTGCTTAAATTTTACAGAATTCGTTGATCCCACAAAGAATTGTTTAAGGAAAAAATTGTGCTTGAATTAATAGGGAATTGAACCCAATTTTCACCATGGGCAAGGAGGGGGGGATTATTTGAATGAACCAATCTTCAAAAGTTCAAATGCTCAAGGGGTTACTTAGGGGGTGGATGTTGAAGCTTCTTATTGCTCAGTGCATAATGGTTTTGGCACACATCTCTCTGGTTTAAAAACAGACAAAGGGGCAGTCATTGTAGGAGAGATTGTTATTTCAAATTTCAGTCAACAAGATAGGAGCCTTTCCTAAATGGGTATTCAATCAAACAGAATCAATGATTCAAGGATTCTTTTGCCACTTAAATGTTGTTCTTAGAATCAGTCTCGAGCAATGTTTGTAACCTTGTTTGTAGCACAACAAAGCGCAAGCCACGTGTGGTCACCATAGGGTCTGCATCCTCTCAGTCTTCAGAATCAAATGCTGCTGCTGAAGAATCAGACCAATCTTCCAATACCACCCCTGCTACACCTTCCTCTGAGGCTCCACCTGGATTGAGTTTAGCAGCTGTGAAACGAGTTACTGGTGATATCCCTCTAGAGCCAAACAAACTAGAACAGGTATATTAATCCTCAGACATGTGAGAAATGATTTCTTTCATCCATGGACATAGGAATACTCACTTTAAAGCCACTTTCTATACTAGCCTCGCACATCAAGAATTTTGATACATTTTTAATAACTAACTTTTGCATTCCTTTTGACCCTTCACACCCTATAATTATAGTATGCATATTCTCCATACTGTTCTCTATGCATTTGTTTAACAATAATAAGCTTCTTTAGTTTGTGATCACTTCCTTTATTCTCATAACCTTTACATTATATGTGTGAGGATATATTTGATGCTCATCATTTTTAAACATAACTTAATCATTCTTTCGACATTTTTGCCAAACAATTCTGATTACAATGAATAAATTGGGAAGCGTATCAGTGTGTATTTGCTTCTTTATTTGCTTGATGATGCATGTGTTTCAATGCCCTCCTTGTATAAGTGACATTTTCCTTTTCCTTCTGATTCATCAACACCTCAAATCAAGCAAATCTTTGGCTACTGCTCCTTAGTTGAAAAATTTGTGAGGCAATGCAGCATGTATGAGTGTAACATGATAGCTCTTTTAATTGTGTAAATTTTCTGTTGTCGACTGGTCACTTTTTCAAATCCAAAAGTTCTTTGCTTTACACCACAATGTAACACAAGGAAAGTTGTAGCACTCAGAGTAACAAAGGCATATAAGTTGTGCATTTTTTTCATCCATGTGCACAAAAAAATTGTATATGCATGTCTGACTATCCTGCATCTGAGCAAATGAAATTCATCTGCACAGTTAACATATATCTGAGTGGTACTGTAGTTAAGTCAGAGTTTCCTTTAGCTCACATGTGAACCTCCCAATGAAGGGACATCCTAGTACATACAGAAAGCTGGTTCACTGACACCTTGGTTTCACTCTTTTTTTAATTTTTTTTTAGATTAAACTTGGAATTCTGAAATTCTTAGCACAGGATTTGTTTGAACCCAGTGACATCATTTGTCATTTTCTGGTTGCTACGGGAGACACAAGACACAGGTATGGTATGCATGTCAATCTGTTTCATTGGCAGTAAGCTCCTCTCTAACCTTTGTACATGGATTTTTTCTGTGATGTAGTTATTGAAAACTACCCAGTTCTTCGAAAAAACAGTGAAAGCTAGTTTTCTTTGATTGATGTCAGATTTCAATGATATTTTTCTGTAAATTTGATTTTAGTGTTCTGGATGTTGGGGATCATGAACTAAAGAGAATATCAAGGTGAGCACTTCTCTTCCTAAATCTTAAACTATAAGTAATTCTGTTAATTTTTTCTCTAGCATCTGAGCAGTCTGGTAGTCCTAACTCCTCAAATCTGATTGGCTAATTCTGTGGGCTTCAGCGGTCTTGATTTTTCCATCTGAACCCCAGATACAAACCGCACTAATCTTGGCAATTGGCACTTTTCAATTGTTTCACCAAATACGTGTAATGATGTAAATATTGTAACATGTGACTCACAGTTATGGATTCAGAGTACAAAAACTATCAATGCACAAGGGCATTTTATTATCCTGAAGAGGAAAACATACCTCAAGTTTCAAAGTTCGCTTGAAAGCCTTTCAAATCACATTATTTTATCATTTTTGACTCAAATGAAATAATGTTTCAGTGAAGTCTCTTACTTTTAGTTTGCATTACCTTCAGTTGGTTTTCTATACTACCTACTTGCTAAAAAACTTGTCCTGTTTTTGGAGGATCTTGCCATAATTACAGCTCTAAATTACTTTGGTTCTCTTTTCACTCATTTCATTGTGTTCTAGGAAAAAAATGTTATTCACCTGCCTAAATTTTGGTCAATAATGGGAAAACTGTGTCCTTTGTTTTGAGTGGCACCCTTGGTGTATGACCTCAGGCAGTATCCAAGACCTTAGCACAGTTTTTCCCAATATGAACCTTGAGGCTGGTGAATAACGTATTATAACTGTCTTTGCTATTTGGGAACTATTTTGCAGCTCAACAGACTTTGAGAATCCAATGGTTGTAAATAAGATGCTTGGTATCTTTCAAGGAACTACACCTGTTGCTGGAGCTACAAACCAGGTATTCCTTTGGGTAGAGCTGTATAAAAATAAACTCTGATTTCTAAGAAAAGTTAATTAAACTGGCCCACATAGCAATCCACAAGCACAGTATATTTTAACATCAGTTTTAGTTGGCTTGATGCTGTTTAATTCCTTAAGTGCCAGTGCAAGTCATTTTCATGACAATCCTCTTCTTGTTGAGATTTGAAATGTTTTTCTCCAAGGTTGAAAGGTGTTGTGGCCACTTACTTTAAAGGGGAGTAGTTCCCAGAAACCACCTTATTTGTCTCTTTGATTTGAAAGTAAACACCAATTTACCACTTCCACTTTTCTCAGCTTCCAACCAAAACGTAACCTTGTGAAATTGTCTTCTAAGGTCCTTGAAATTTGGCTGCAAACACAGTCACTTTTAACTTGATTACAGTTCCGCATTAGTAACTGATTTCTGAACGTGGTGGCACAGAATATTTTTCCAGATTGTAACTCAAAATGTTGGGGAACAGAATATACTTGTCATCAAGAGTTGCCTCTTCAACTTCTCTCTTTTTTTCATTAATTTTAATTTACAAGGTTTACATGTATAACGGTTATTATATTGAGCTGAAGTTTGTGACCATGTTGGTAAGATTCTCAATGGTGGTTCATCTCTCAGTGAACTGCAAGTTTGCTGAGATCCAATCTGCCTAAAGGTTTTTTTTTTCCAATATACATGTAACTGGAAAGCATGGCATAAACTCATGATATGAAAACATCTGACTTGGGGGAGTGGTGACAAAAATCACAAGCCTAGTCTTCTGGGGTCTCAATAGTTAGCCTCAGCAATATTAAACCCCAACAATTTGCATCCACTCTCAGATTTATTTTGAAGACAATTTCCAAAAGATCTGATAGCTGTTTTGAATCTTGAATAACTTCTGTGCCTTTTCATTTTACATTGTTCTAATCAACTGCTGGTAATACATGATTTCCAGAGCACTTTTGTCCTTAAATGAACTTTGCTTGTGATGTGGAGGTCGCTGAGATCAAGGTGAGATTACTTGAGGTATCCCTTTCCTTAACTACCTGTTTGCCTTTTTGCTCTACAGGCAGCCCAAATCCCGCCAGATCAGAAGAGATCACCAGCAGGTATTAGACTGAAGCAAAGGATTTATCCTTACCTTCTGAGGTCCAGAAGGGCTGCTGATCAATTTCCAGCCTGTCTACAGGTACATATCTTGACTTATTTTACATCAGCCATGGCATTTGGTTACCACTCCTTTGGTACTCAGTTGATTCATGCCCAGCTGGGACCATTCATGCCCAGTCAATTTTATTAGTTGTTTGGTATTTATACAAATAAGGTTTTTTGTCCCCATACAAAAAACCAATAAGTTTGATATGGACAGAAACTGGGTATGAATTGTCTGAGTTTGAGCACAAATTGACTGGGTACAAAATGACTAGATAATTAGCATTCTCATGAAAATTTCACATGACATAAGTGGTCTAAAGTGACATTTGATATGTGTTATTAGGCATGCCAAATAACTTAGAAACCTGAACAGACATTGGTAGATTGTTCTATGTCATGTGACAGTATCTTAGACCTGTTCTGGGTATTGAGTTAAATGATACAAGAAGATCTTTGGATGATAAGCTGAACATCAAATATTTGTTTCAATTCTTTTGTAAACTTCTCTGAAATTCTGTGTTTTAATCAATTCATCCAACTAATTCACCATTTCCTTGGTCATCATGATAGATTATATTTGACAGTCTCTTTGGCAAGGAGCTCAACAGCAAGCTGAGGGTGTATGCTGTTCAATTTGTCCACCACATCTGTTTGTGGAGTTCTGAGAAAGTTATGAACATGATGGGACCTGTTCTTCTTGGTGGAATGACAAAATTGATCAATGAAGATAAACAGGTTTGTATAAGAATCAAGCAAGCTTGTAAATTCAGTCAGATTTCTCCTTGATCTATGTGGATTTCATTTACATTTTAAGGTGAAAAAAAATCAAACAAACAAACACAAAAACAGATATAAAAACAGAATTGTGTTTGAAAAGGATTGAGAGTTAAACATGAGCATGAGCAGAATTGATGCATAGTTGTCATGTGAAGGACAATAGTTTTAAAACAGCAGGAATAATAATAGTCACTCATTTTGCAGGATCCAAATCTGAAACGATTGGCATATACTGCTATTGGAAAGCTAGCAAAGTAAGTGTGATATTATTTACAGTAGTTTGTACTTATCTTAATTATTTTGATCAAAATTGGAATTATCCACTGATCAATTTCAAGTGGGGGTGGGGGGAATTTGAGCCTTGCCTGGCTGGGGTAGAGAATTTGAACCCAGAATGTCAAGTCTTTCCAGCAAAATACAGGTGTTATGTTTTTAAATATGGAGATGCTTTAGGTAAACAGTTTACTTTTGTGAGGAAATGGCTTGGAAGAAGAAGGTCCATAAGCTTGGTCAATGTGTACAAAATTTGCCTTTTTACAAAAAAGTTGGATGGGGCATTTGAACACAATTTTTTCCATATGAGGATGGGAATTTGAACATACCAATCTCAAGGTTAAATGCCAGGGGGCACAGGGGAGGGGGGATGTTGATTGATGCATTACTTTGAGACATTTTGTACAATAGAAGTGGTGCTTGAAGGGTAAACATGTATTCTGTTGCTCATAGCTACATGAAACTTTGTTATCATAATCTCAGGCGCCTTCCTCAACTGTTTTGCAAAGATGTGGCACTAATTCAAAGGCTGTTCCAAGCCCTTTGTCAGGTTGGTTTGCTGTAACCTAGTAACATTATGCAGGTGAAATCTTCTGTGAATTTATGGGATTACTAAGATCACTGACTCTTCATGTTACATCCTCTAGGAAAAAAAACTTATAACAACTATTATCAATAACTACTAATTCTACAATCAACTATGGATTATATCTGTTATCTATATAAGGAACTTAAGCTTACCTCACCCTTGATGGTTGTTATTGGATTTCCTTGTCATTAACCCTTTAATCCTGAGAGTGACTGGCATCTAATTTCTCCTTACAATATCACCCCTGAATCAAACATTAAGTCATGAGAATAAGGGAAATGATCAACAACCAAGAACTCTTGACTGTGAAACAAATTCTCCTTTTCAGAACCTTAAGAAATGTATGGAGAACAGTATGGAGAATATGCATACTGATGTTAGGGTGTTAAGGGTTAATCTTTTTGTTTTTGTTTTCTCTATCAGTTGTTGTAAATTGTAGTAATATTGTGTATAATGGCAAATAAAACAAATTAAAATGTGAAATAAAGAAGTGTGTGGGTTTGGTGGAAGATGTGCTACATTGTTGTGAATGCTTAGTTCTGCATCCCTGAAGGAGACAGTTTGGGTAAAAAAATACTGGTTTATTTAGCATTTGAAAAAACTTGCCCAGCCACCTCTCTTTGAAAAGGGGCATGAATGAGTTGAATAAACTATGAAAGAACCTTAGAAATTGCATGCTTGGGGAGGGGAACTTGCATTAGACTACAACCCCATCTAGAAAAACTTGCTAGTGTTTTTTTGGTTGTAAGGTGAACCTTTTTGTTTTATCTTCCTGTTAGGATTATTGTGATATCTTTTGGTTCATGTATTATGACAAACATGTCATCAATGTTATGTGGAAAGTTTAACATTGTTCATGGGTCACCTAACCTTTACAACCTAACATCAGTATGCATATTCTCCATACTGTTCTCTTTACATTTCCTATGGCACTGACAAGGAGAATTTAACAGTTAATTGCTCCTTTAGTTGGTGAGCATTTCTTGCATTATCATGATGCAGCAGTAAGGAGAAATTAGCTGCTGGTCACCCTTGAATGTGAAAGGATTAGGCCACACTAAACATCTAAAATAATATACATACATATTGTTGTGTTTTAGGAAGAATCTGACAGTCGTCTAGCAGTTCAGGAAGCATTATCTATGATGGCACCATCATATAAGAAAGCAGATGCCACTATCCTGGCTTTGATAGAAAGTCTTATACTCAGCTATGTAGAGCAGGTAATTTTTACAAATTTCACTTGTACTTGAACATTTACATATACCAGGGAGTATCTACATGACGTTGTACTTTGCTCAAGGCGAATTCTTTCAATTCTTTGCACAGTCATTGGTATCAAAGGCACAAGGGTTGCAATTTTATGTGAACGACAGCATAGTGCTTGTCCATTAATTTTACTTAGGTTTAAAATGTTAGAAGATAAAATTACAGATTATTCAAGGGCTGCTTTGTGGTTCTGGGGTTTGATTTGGATTATACGAAAATAAAGGAGGCGAGATAAAGAATGTTCCTCCACTTTATTTCATTCCAAAACAGCAAAAATTAAAAGAAAAGTCAAAATAACAACAGATATAGGGACCTGGGCCCAGAAGTCCTGGCTGTCGCATGACAAGCTTGCCAGTTGTAATGCACTGCATTCATAGCTGTTGAGGAGGCTGCATTTGTAATAGAAGCTTAGAATTGCTTGGAAAACTAGCATGAAAAGAGGTGTTAGTGCCACATTGAAACTGAGATTTCGTTATCAATTCTGACAGTTCAATGACTTCTCCTTCGGGGACAAAACATCGAAATTGAGGTCAAGAGCGACAATTTTCTACACAGTTGTTCGTGGAATGATCATTGTCCCCGTGTGGAGACTCCTATACATATACTCCTATACATATACTCCCCCATCCTTTGCAGGAGGCATCGGTTTCAATAACTTAGTTGGGGTTCCCCCGTGGTCATAACTTTTCCATGTAAGGCTTTCAGTTTGTCTCTGCACCTTCGCTCTGACGAGGGGCTAACGCTCGAAATGTCAGCTGGACAACACCTTACGGTGGCCAATTTACGTTATCAACTCAGTTGATAATGCCAAATTACCCTGTCTCTCTACCTTACAAGTTTCTCCTTTGCTGGGAAAACAGCCTGGATGGAGGAAGTGAGGTGTCCTAGGAGTTTGAAAAGTCCCTTGATTGTTGGGGTGGGATTGATCAGCAGTTGATTCCATTCCTTTCTGACCTTTTTGAATTTGTGTCGAGGGAGGGAAAGAGTTAAATTCATTGATCCCACAGAAAACCCCAGAAACTCGATACTGGTCCATGGGGTTAGAATTGATTTCTAGCATGGGTGTATAAGCCGCATCAACGTCGGGTCTGGGAAATCTGCTGCAGATTGTTTTTCTCTCAAACGATTTTGAGGGTTCCGGGAAGTATCGAGAAAATTAGTCAACTGCTCATTCGCCCGCCAACGTGAGGAGGACGATGGGGAATCATCCTCTTGTTTTTCATCAATCTTTCGTTCAAACGAGGTTGTTTAGGTTGACTTGGATTAAGCTCCCCACTTGTGTTGGACATTGTATCAACCATTGTCTTAGCTGCTATATGGGCCCCAGGCGCCCCAGCTTCTATTGTCTAAGCCTCGGGTTGTTTAGAAGGAGCCTTGAGCGCTCCAGTTTGCTGAGGATCATGCTCAACATCAGCTTAAACACTTAGAGCCGAGCGAAGCAAACGTATCGCTGTGGAATGGACAAAAATGCTTTCCATTAGATCTTTAGCTCGGCTTGAGAAGTACCTTTCTCCATTGTTATTGGGGTAATTGATTGAGATCCAGTTGCAGTAGCCATGCTTTTCCAGGAGCGAAATAAAACGGCGAGTTGATCATGCGACAGTCTTCTGGGATCTAGGTTCCCACAGTTGTTGTTATTTTGACTTTTATCCTAATTTTCGCTGTTTTGGATTGAAATAAAGTGGTGTTACATTGTTACATAGAGACAATGCTTTCATTGACAAATTTTGAAAGTATACATTTAACTTTAAAAAGTAATGCCCACTTATTTGCTGGTATTATGTAGGGCTGTATTATCTATCGAAGTCTTTAGATACAACTTCCAGTGGATTTTTCAATGTTTATCGCTTCAAATGACATCCCAGGTTTGGGAAATTTATTTTTCCAAATCTGTGATGTTATTGAAAGAGTTAACCGTTAGGCAAGGACATTTAAGGAAAGTTTGCAGTGGTCAGAGACTACGATAAGTAATGTTAGACTACACGACTTGTTTTGTCTGTTTGTTTGGTTTTTTTGTTTGGTTTGTTTGTTCGTTTTTTCTTATCAAAACGAAGAAAAAGATAAAGCATTTAGTGGATAATTCAGTGTTTATCGCTAGAAATGAAATCTTAGACAAGGAAAATTTATTTTTCCATTATCTGTTATGTTTAAAGAGAAATTCATTCGGCGATAAATAATGTTAGACTACACGACTTGTTTTGTTTGTTTGTTTGTTTTTGTTTGTTCTTGTTTGTTTGTTTGTTTTTGTTTGTTCTTGTTTGTTCTGTTTGTTGTTATCAAAACGAACAAAACTGTTAAATCGGCCGAAGACAACCTTTTAATGAACTTCTTTGAGCGTATATGATCAATGAGGTACTTCATGTATAACAAAAAGGTTTTTTTTTTTGGCCGTCTTCTCACGGGCGTGGGACAGAGAAAAACTATTTAGTCTCCATGAGGAACTGAACCTCAAACTTGCGGATTCCGCGCTGTGATGCTCTACCAGTGAGCCTTAGATACTCTAATTCAGGCCATTGCGAGGTTCATATCTAACACATAACCTGCATATAATAGGATCATACACACAGGATAGGATCACCAATGTCGAAAGCGTTCTATGCATAAACAGCATAAGAAAAAATGGTAAATTTTGAGCTCGGTGATGAGATAGAGAAAGATTTTTTTCGTCTTGTCACCAGTTTGGGACCGAGAAAAATTGCTTGTTTTCTTTAACATTACATGTATTTTTAATCTGAAAGGTACATTAACAGTATTTGTTTATATCCAATTCTTTTGCGAAGGAGACACACCAGGCAAGACTTGTCGCTGTACAGTTTGCCAATGCCGTGTTCCCAAGGACACATGTCTCGTCCCGTTATGTGTGTATGTTGGCTGTGGCTGATGTGTAAGTCGCTTTCTCGAGCTAAGTTTTTATTGCCATATTTTTTCCTTAACAGACGGTGATGGCTTGGTAGTTAGCGTGGGGGATTCCTGATCGATAGCTTAGTTTTTGAACTCTGAACTTGATTAAAACACTTAATTTAAAGGGTGTTTCTCTCTGTTTGTTAAATATGAACACAGCTGTCAAACGTCGGGTATGGGCAAGTGAGTAAATCTTCCCCGGCCGCACGCCAAAACACAGCGGTCAAACTTAGGGCGTGTGCAAGGGGATCATTTTTGGCCGGCCGGGTATCAATTTTCCGCGCAAAATTTTCAAAGAAAACATTAGAATCAACCATCGTCACGCAAAGTATGCGAAAAAATAAAACGTTCATAGAAATCTGGAAAAGGAAGTGTAAGTAGGGAGAGGAAAAACTCAAGACTTTTCCCGTACTTAATTACGGTTATCCTGTTTCTTTGCCTTTTTTTTTTTGGAGCTTTATCAAAAAAGTTGTATTGTTTTACACAGCACCATGACTTACTAGCTTGTGGACATAGTTCTAAGATGACAACTTGGTTTGCAAACAAACTTCGCTACCTCGCCAACACAACGTTTGCACATGCGCAAACGTTTGACCGCTGTCTCCACACCAATATCCCGCAAAAGATTTCTAGGATAACATGAAGCGACCGCTGTCGTGCTACTGGAATACGCGAACGTTAAATTGAAATATTTGTAAAAGTCTTGAAAAGGAATAAAAGTAGGAATAGGAAGACTTATTTTTTAGAGTTTATCTGATTACGGGTTTTCCTGTTGTTTTACTATATTTTTTTGCGCTTTGTCAAAAGCGTTGTACACTCTAAAGCATAGTGGCTTCGTAGCTTGCCGGTATGGTTGTTTATTTCTCTTGTGAGAAAACTTCGCTCATGGGCAGAAGTTTGATGGTTGTGTTGAAAAATGCCTTTATCGTAGTAAAGATGATGTTAAAGAAGAAGCACGGAGGGGATTAAGAGGAGCACGAGTGGCTGATAAGACATTGAAAGAAGTCAGCGGTGGGACCGAAGGTGAACTTCCTTCCTTCGCAGAGATGGTGTCATTCGTGGCTCAAAAGGTACATACAGTAGATGCTTCTGACAGTTAAATTCAAATCCTTTGATGCAACGTGGCAGGAAAAGGCTTTTGCTCAGGAGTTTCTTCTTTTTATGCAAGAAAATTTGTCTTAATTTGCATTGCCTCGTATTGGTTTACGCATGCATCGATATCTAACTCTGACGGCCACTTAAGCGCTCATTTTGTAATGCCAGCATATACTTATCCAATTGCAGAGTCTCGAAAGATTGAGAAGCAAGAATTGCTACACAGCAGGAACAACTGCGTTGCCGTTTGCTCCACCAGTTTTTTCACAGGTACTCTTAACTTAACGTGCATATGAGAAAAACAATTGAGATCTCAGACTTTAAAATGATGATGTTTTTGATACTTAGACGACAGCCAGAAGGTCAGGGTTCTTTCCTCGGGGGCAAGGCACAAATATTTCGCTTTTAGCCTTTGGTTTAAAATGTTGAAATAAACACACTCCAGCTGATTCGATGTTTTCAGTGCAAAAAAATTAAAACCGTTTCATTTGTCTTCCGCTCGCCGTTCGTGTCCTTGAGCATATCTTAACTTCAAAGAGACAAAGGGTGTGGCCACGGGTCCAGGTGTCAGGAAGACACTTGCGTAGATTCCTTTACTACAGTACAGTCCTGCAAGCGACCCTGGAGACACCATATGTAATGCTCCAGATACGTTCCTGATTCCGAAGCATATAGTCTCATGAAATATTCCCACTCCCCTTGAACGTGATTTTAGTTCATGGCAGGTTACACCAGCATTTCGTCACAGACAAACTACTAGTTTCCCTTCCAGTTTGCCATTACCCATGCACGACTAGTAGGACAGAAATATTGTAAAATAAATGGTTTGCCCAGTAACACTGCACAGTGTTCCTGGCTATTTACAATCAGTAGTGTAGTAGTTTTAACCCTTTAACTAGCAAGATCTGATTGTCAATTCTCCCCACTTGGTGTTTCATATTTCTTTGTAAATTAGTTACGATAATGTGGTGTTAGATCAAGATAACAACTTTTACCTGATAAGTAGAAAATTATCCTGTTTGTTGGATAATGTTGGGATATTATGGGTAGAAGTAACTTCCTAATCACTTTTAGAGTTAACAGAAGGTAACTGATGAAATATGCCATTAGTGTAGAGTTTTATGTTGTGGCATTTTTCTTCAGGTGTTACTATATTTGCAAAAATGTCTGGAATATGCTGCTGGTGTAACAGAAGAGGACCGGATCAAAAACTGCATTCTTCCATCTGTTGCACAATATGTGGAGAAACTCTTAGCAGATGTTATAGTTGAAGGTATACACTTCGTTCTGTGATTGGTCTAGAAAACTAACCTCAACCTGTCAACTAATCAGATGCGTAACTAAAAACAATTCGCCACATGGTCATTCACCTTGTTCCGTGCCTCAGGCAGTTTTACGCGGGGTTCTCCATAATTCCATGTGTTATTTTTGTTATTTCTACACGGCTACTGTGGTTAGTTTGGTTCCGATTTCGTGAAACTCAATGGAAATGCACTGTTAGACTTCTCCACTTCTGTACTGCACTGGGCTTGAAGTGTTGTTAATTATGCAATTTCTTGACTCTGATTGTAGACTTCCAGTCAAGTGCCGTGGGAAAGTACATTGAACTTGTCAAACAAGCCCTCCAGTCCATAGGAGGTATGTTTAGTCATCTTCTCTTAACCCTTTAGCCCCTAAGAGTGACCAGCGTCTAATTTCTCCTTACAATATCACCCCTGAATCACACATTAAGGTAAAGAGTTAAAACCTCTTAACCCCTCAGAGTGACTACCATCTAATTTTTTTTCACACTACTGATTCAAACGTTAAGGTTATAAGAATACAGGAAATGACCACCCACTCAAGAAGCTCTGAATTGTTAAACAAATTCTCCTTGTCAATACCTTGGGAAATGTATAGAAAATACGGTGGTGTTGCCATAAAAAAGAATAAATAAAAGTACAACACTCACCCCGCTGTAGGATTCTGAAGAGTTATCTAACTTTCCGAACCTATCTTCATCCAAATCAAATTGCTTAGTTCTGCGCGGTTTCAGCACAGATTGATTAATACTACTGTTAACCAAACTGTTGCAACCCTTTGACTCCTAAGAGTGACTAGCATCTAATTTCTCCTTACAATATCAACCTTGAATCACACACTAAGGTCTGAGTCACTCAATAACGGAAATGATCCCCAACTAAAGAAGCTCTTGATTGTTAAACAGATTCTCCATGTTAGCACCTTAAGAAATGTCCAGAGAATGAACAGTATGTAGAATATGCCTTCTGATGTTTGGGTGTAAAGGGTTAATCTTACTGTGAATCAATTTATTGTATTTTGATATCATTTCTTTTACTTTTTGCTTTTTTTATTTATTTATAACTTTTAGGATCTGATCTTCACGCTGTGGCTCTGTGCTGTCTTCTCCAGGTTGTGTCTGTTGTTCCGAATAAATTGGCAAGGATGTTTCATGGGAAACTCGACTGGATAAAGGTAACCCTCCGTTAGACGAAGGGCTGGCGCCCAAAATGTCAGCTTGAAACTCTATACGGTGGCCATCTTATATTATCACCTCAGTTGATAAATCCAAATTATCTTGTTACACCCCTCCACCGACGCAGCACCACCGTTTCTTTAGCAAGTTACCCCCTTTATGGATAAAAGTAAGTTTGGTTTCGTCCAAAATGGTCTGATTTACGCTCAACATACTCTCAAGAGAGTGTCATTATGTGTTATCATGTGCCATAATGGGGTCGTTTGTAGTAGTCTCTGGTTATGCTCTGCCACTATTACTTGTTAGGAAATGCCTAGTTTTCCAGATACTATTGGCGATTGATAACAATTCACATTTCACTCACAACTTAACGTTGATAAACATGGGGCCTGTACGCAGTGTAAGTATTTAAAAGAAACTCTAGAGTCACAGTATTCGTTGTTATCAGTACTAACACCGGTACCTTTATCTTTAATCTTTTTACTTTTGTTTTGTTTTGTAGAGTTTTACATTTTCAAGTAGAGAGGATGCTCGTCAATATGCCGGCCAGTTATTGGCAGTTGTTACCTGTACAATGGGGGAAGAATCTTTCACGAATGTGATTAAGGAACTCTCTGCAGCGCTTGATAGTGAGGTTGGTGAAACACAAGGTTAATTCAGAGAACGACATGAATTTGTCACTGAAATGGTAAAACACTTAAAAAGATTATCTCCTGGACGTCTCCCAAACATAGTTTGATCGGAAGTTCAGTCAATTATTTGCATTTTGTCCACAGGATTTTATAAGATTTAGGGTAACAAGGGAGTGGAAAATATTTACAATGTTTATAATTTAATTAAAACTTAGACACTCGTGTTAAATGATCGCTGATTTGGCCCACTTTTCCATAATCATGAAACCTTGGGGAAAAAATTAAGTTAAAAACAACTATTTTCAGCGTTTTCATGAAGTTGAATATTTTTCCGTTATCGTAAGCGTCATCCATTAAGTTCGGTGATTTTTCGCCGCGCAGTCACTCCTCTTCTTAAAAATCCCATCTTTCTTTTTCCCTTTTTTGCTAAACTAATCTTAATACTTTACGCGATGCTTTTAGTTGTTTGAGATGCAGCTTGGATCAGCGAGCACATTGGGCTTCGTCATAGCCAGGCATCTTTACCAGGAGGCATTAAAATCTGCAGGCAAACAAAACCTGGTGTTAGAAGATATGGAGGTGGACGACTCCGGGAATGTTGCATCTGTAGCCACGAAAGAGGAGCTTGTGACAAGCAGCGTGGAAAAACTAGGTTTGATACAGTTTTATTCCGTATTTATGCTACAGTGTTACGTGAGAGGTTTTTGACGACAAACGAAAATGTCCATGGAAGAATATCCTTTAATTAAACTTTTTGCAATCTCCTTAACAATTTCTCCTGCGAACTGTGACTGTATTAGAAAAATTGGTGCTTGAAAAGTATTTTCTAGTTATACTTTTCCTCGTTCAAAAACGGGAATTTCAGATAAGTATGCGAGGAATTCCAAGCAAAAGTTGCCTGCAAAAAGGCGGTTTGATCTTCCCGTAAGTCTTTCGAGGACTATACCTTAAGTGTCCTTCCTCTTCACATCAATACGGGTTTATCAGTCTAGGAATGTAAACCGTTTACCTTCGATAAGTAAGGTTATTCATGATACTTTAGCTTTTCCAGATACCCCACTAAAAAAAGTGAACTTCGTTTTGAGGAGCTACGTGGTGGTTTCTTCTCAATTCATAGCCGACCATGCTCATTTTTTGGGCAGCAATGCCTTTTTTTTTCGGCTTTTCTATCTTAAGGAACGAATATTTTAAAGTTTCTTTTAAAGTGGTGGTTTCTATCGCGTATTAAGAACTTTTTTTTTTCTTTTCTGTTACCTTGATGTTGAATTAGAATATTGTTATGTTATTTTGGCAGTGAAACTCTTGAACAGCAGAAATGCATTGATAAGCTGTTCTGCTTGTCATGCTATTGGTGAGATCGGTCGAAACGGACCGCTTCCTCTTCCCGCTGGACTCGAAAAGATGGAGCAAGGTTAGGAGATTTATTATCGTTCTTTTTCTTTTTCTTTTTCTTGAAGCTTTTAACGCTGCTGATCCTAGCGGCGCACAGAACGCTTGTAACACATGAGCTGCTACAATGAGTGGAGAAACTGGGCGTCCTGGCATGTTGTAATACTTTTTAATTTTTTCCTTTAACTTCCATTTGTCTCCTCCATTGCAGTACATAATGGTGACTCATTTCCTGTTAGCAAAATGCTTTTTTTTTTTTTTACATTGTCCGGGAAAAAGAGGGTTTTTCAAGTAATTTACAAGAGAAGAATAACAAGATCTTGTTCATTATGTTGAATGGCGCGTTGTCGACCAACGACCTATGGGAAGCGTGCCAACTTCATTTGCCACTCATTGTAGTCTTAGTCTTTGGTAGAGATAGAAAAGTATCCTTTCTCACAATCAAATTACCCGGCGGGGGACTCGATTCTTCTTTGTCCCATTTGTAAAGTTTCTTACAACACCGACTTTAGAATCACAACTCGCAAGAATTTGTGATATTCACATTCAACAGTCATGCACATCATTCCAATCAATTCCCATGATAAGATTCTGCTTTCGATGTGACACGACACCATGTTTGGGGTCAGACGTTTCACATCTTTCTCAAGGCTTGAATTATTTCCGTCGTAGTTAATAAGTTAGTGCAGTTACCTTAAAAATATGTCTGAATACTTCTTGATAATGGAATTCTCTGAGAACTTTGCTTGTGTTTAATATTTAGATGTAGCCACTGGACCATCAGCCACTGAAGATCATGTTAGCAAGTTGTCAGTCGTTGAAAAACTGCTTGACACTTTAGAGAACTCAAAGGAGAATAAGGTACTTCAGTCAATAATGTTTTGATCTTTCTGGGAACAATATTCATAACATTGATTGATTGAAATAGAATAAAAAAGATGGTGAGTTTTGAGCTCACTAAAAAAACAAAATACGTTTTTTCGTCTTATCACGAGCGTGGGACAAAGAAACAATTCTGAGTTCCCACGAGGAATCGAACCTCAGACTTTCGGTTTCCGCGCTCCGATGCTCTACCACTGAGTCACAGCGAGTCTGTGGTGAGCAAGCCATTCATTGATCAACTCATCAAATTATCCCATCGATATCTGGAGCTTTTTGTTGTTGTTCTGTTTGTTTGTTTTTGTTTTGTTTTTTGCCAGATTATTTCATCCTCTGGTCAGTTGCAAGGAAACAATTTGAGTCGCGACTTGTAAATTTGGTACATGTGAATATTGATAAACTAATTGATGGACTGTTGATTGGCAGGTCAAGGAACATGCCGCCCATGCCCTTGGTTTTCTTATGGTTGGAGATGAAAATTTCCCGCATCATGAGAAACTGATTGATGGCCTGTGTGAAGCTGCCAAGGTGCTGCTATCTTCATGAATAATTATGATCACCGAAACCCACAATTCTCAGCACCGAGTTTATCCCAAATGAGAAATTAGTTCCTTTTTGACATTAGACCAATAGAACCAATTTCAATTGAATGTCAAAAGAAATCCGGAATAGCACTGGTTTCGCTTTACTTTGGTCAGTGATTGTAAAACAGAAAACTTGCGCCACTTTTTCAACCAATTAGTTGCGAACTACAACCAAACAGGAATTGGTCGCCAGCATTTTCCAGTGGTTTGAGCTGTTTACTTGTTCTTACTTTTAGTTCTCATTGACGCTTTTGGGGCATTTTCACTTCTTCTGAATTACCGTTTTCATTACTTTTGTTTTCGTTTAATGACACTCAATCGAAAAGCTCTGTCACAGTAAGACAGTACCAACCAGTCTTTGTTTCCTTACTGAACAGATCCGGCAAGTAGAAGTGCAGTTCACTATAGGGGAGGCCCTGTCATGCGCAGGGGCAGGCAGAACGTCACAGGTTGCCCGTGATCCTTGGGTAGTGGAACAACTTGCAAGTACTGCTTGTGATAAGACAGATGAGATCATGCAGGAACTTACTGAGAAGATTATCAACAAATATGCAACCAGTCCCACCCCATACGTCAGACAAGTATGTTTCTTTTGATCCACCTTCAGACTTGTCCAAGCCTTAGGTTTCTGTAGATGAGTGACACTGGTTGAAAAAAAAAGGCAGAGGTCACGGACAGTTTTAATCAAGTCTGGAATTCTTGAATTGATATGAGAATTCACAAGCTTGTTTTTCTGACTGAAGAAAGTCATAAATCCATAGAATTAAAGTCGCAATTTTTGCACACATGCAGTGCATATGAATGATTATAGAAATTCATACCCCTGAAATTTGAACGATCCTTGAAGCTATTATCTACTTAAACTATACAGCAATTTTCAATTTAGAGTTGAAAGTAAACCGAAACTGCATTTAGTCCTCTTCCTTGCGCTTTGCGATTGGCTTGTGTAGAAATTTCGGTCCCTCCTTTCCACCCCCTCGGATGCAAATTACACTCCCAAAGACAATGTTGCTCAGCAAGATGGCTTAGATACATGGGCAGTTAACAAAAGTGGACTGGGGAGAGGGGTGAAAGAACATCATAGACATTGTTATGGGGAAGTGTCCCAGTTATTTACGTCTGGGAGAGTAGAACCAAAACCACATTTAAATTATTTGCGGTGTCACTCGTTTGCAGCAGTTTGCTTGTTTTAATTTGAGTTCTTATTGTTTCCTCGTGTATCAAGTTATTCGTTGTGGGTTACATGATTACTTTGTGTTTGGCATGACGACACTCGCTCTAAAAGCTCTTTCATAACCGCAATTTTCTCTTTCAGGCTTCTTGCATTTGGCTGTTGTCACTTGTGAAGTATTCCGGGAATCACAAAGTTGTTCAGGTGTGGCTTTTTGTTCCACTGATCATGATTCTCTCAATGTTTTTTAACTATTATTATCTTTTTATTTTTCCATTTTTGAGGATCTATATTTGGTTATAAAAGAGGTAATGTTACGAAATTTTAATTCTGCTAGTCTTGGGTGTATTCTGTGAAAGGCTGTATAATCTTTTTTTCTTCTTACAGGCAAACCTTAAAGAAATCCAAATGGTGTTCATGAATATGTTGGCAGAAACAGACGGTATGACTACGCGTTGAACGCTTTGATGTGTTACTTATCTGATATCTTAATCCTTAACACCCGAGCATCAGTCTGCTTATTCTCCGTGCTGTTCTCTATGCATTTCTTAAGGTGCTAACACGGAGAATTTGTTTAATTTCTCATAACCCTAATGTTTCATTCAGGGGTGATTTTGTAGGGAGAAATTAGATGTCAGTCACTCTTAAGGGTTAAGGGATGAACCAATTAGTCAGTTTCCTATGTTTTCATCACCATGACGTCAAATAAAACGATTAAAAAGACCTCCGACACAAGTCTTGATAACCTACCGGCAAATATTAATTTCTGCATCACCCAGAACAACACACAGATCAGAAATACGTTGCAAGTTTTCAAGAGGAAACCCAAGATCTTTTATCGAAAAAGATAGAAATTAAGAAAATATTGAAACGGGTGATTCGTTTTTCCTTATCACAATGCAAATGGACGTCTCAAAAGCAAAAACAAATGCGGAATACTTCATTTTCAGAAAGACTTAGACGAAGTAACCTTTACCTTAACTGCGCCTGCAAAAGCCGTTTTTCTATTAGCTTGTGGCCTGTGTTTATTGCTTATTATTCCTGTTATCATCCCAAAAAAAACCTGTCACTTTTGTCACGTGAATTTGTTTACTTGTAGTTTATTATTATAAAACTCGCATTTTTTCATTTTGTTTCCAGACCTCACTCAAGAAGTAGCTTCGAAAGGACTGGGTCTAGTATACGAACATGGCGACGGAGAGAGCAAGAAAGAGCTTGTTTCCCTATTGGTTGATACGCTGACGAATGGTAGGAGGTGAGCACTTAACTGAGTTAATAATTAACGAGCAGTTCTGTAACGATACTGAGATTAAAGGAGCTATAGGCATTAGATGATGATTTGTGCATCTTAATTAATTTAACCTCTACATTCCAGTGGGGCAAATTTTAATCCGTGGTAATCTTCACCATACTCGATCAAGTTTTGCAACTGAAATAGAATACATGAGAATGAGCTGTATGCTCCTTCTTGAGATTCCGTAGAGTAACGTAACTGTTCAAAAAGTGTCTTTAATTATGCTTAAAATTTGACTGTGAACCTCGCCATTTAAAAAAACAAAAAAACAAAAAAAAAACAAACAAAAAAAAAGAGAAAAAGAAACCGCAACGTGGCTCAAATAACTTCTCTAGACTTTTGTAAGCTCCTCAAGCGTCAGTGGAGTTGCAAAGTTTTTTTTCTTTGCTTTTTTTTTGTTTTTCTTTTCTCGTTTTTAAAACTCTTTTGTCTTCTTCGTTTCAGGTCAGTCCAGCACGTCACCGGTGAAACCAAGTTTTCTGAGGGGTAGGGGGTGTCTTCTGCCATTAATAACGATTTTGATATCGTCACTGTTATTCTGTCGAAGTTTTGATGGACACAAAACACGTTGGATCATCTCTTTCATCATTGTTCTCGAAACGATCCAAAATTAACGCACTTTAACGTAAATAGTCCAGAAAAAATGTGCAATAAAACAATTATTGAATTTGGCTTTCGCATGATATTATGAATGATCAAACCTCGTTTCTGTGTTATCTGACTCAGACCTCGGTTTTGATAATTAATGATATCTTACTTAACCTCATCCAATAATTGCTTACTATCCTTCGCTAGTTTCATCCATTAATTTTGGGAAAATTTAGCAGCAATTCGTAGCCAAACTAGAGGGGAGCACGCTTTACAGCGTAAATGTAACTGCACACACCATGTTATGTACTTGCGGTATGGTGTACTAATTATGGATGAATGCCATGGCGGATTAACAGAAATTAGACAGGACTAACGAACGAGCCATGTTATTATGTTCTTCCTCACATCTCACTTGACGTTTTAGGAGCGGAGTCTCCACCTACAAGGAGTTATGTTCCATTGCAAGTGATCTAAACCAGCCAGATCTTGTTTACAAGTTTATGCACCTTGCAAATCAAAACGCTCTTTGGAACTCCCGGAAGGTATCGTATGAATTAAACAGTTTGGTTTTGTTTCGTATTTTGTTTTTGATTAATGTAATACGTCAGAGGGCATAGGCTCGTGCCTCTCTAAATACCTAGGAGGCGGCGAGTCGCTTGTGAGCAGTCTCCCACGAGCACTGTTGACCGATCAACTCGCGGGCCTCTCATAACGCATGCGATGGTTGGGGAAGCCTCCTCTGTTCACTTACGAGATGCCCGTGAAGCAGCACCGATGAAAACCTCCGCGTAAGCTACGTGGCGATAACCATGTCTAGGTTGTTTTACGATTGTTGGGTTTTGCCTAGGCCTGGTTATCACCGATCGTCTAGATCCCAATCATCCAGAGTGATACTCAAGCAATCGGGGCAATTACATGTAAACCAGGTCAAACGTTCTCTGACCAACGGAAACATCCAGAAAACAGAAAATTAGAATTCTATGTTTTTGTTCTTCTTTTCTTCCAAGGGTGCAACGTTTGGGTTTTCATCCATAGCTTCTCACTCAAGAGAGCAGTTGGAGCCATACCTACCTAAGATTGTACCAAAGTTGTTCAGGTAAACATAAATTACTTTTTTCATGTTAAGTATTTTCACATACGATCTTTGTTTCTGGCTATGTGTTCGTAAGAGGTCTCTGATGCTGTGAAGCAGTGGACCGTGTAATGGCTATGCTCTTTGTAGAGTACTTAGATTGTTTCTTTGGTCCATCCCTTGGACAAATGTTGAACACCTTAAGGTATTACAAGAAATTCATTCATCATGACACGATCTCAGTCACATATCTCGCTCAACATAAAAAGTATTGTGGTAACAGGTGTGAATTTAGTGACTGAAGCGGAGCAGCCGTAGCACGACTACGAATTTCGTAGCACCTGTTCTTGCTTTAGCGCTTCTTGTCATCGCCGCCTCAGTGGGCAAACCGCCCGGAGAAAAAGTTTGTTTTTCCCGGAGGAAAAACCGCGTCAGCTTATATTTGCAGAAGAAGAATCGTAGCCCTGAAAGCTCAAACTGCTTGAGTAGCGGAGCATGCGCATTCATTTTGCCGCTCTGTCGCCTTTACAAGGTTGATATGTGACATGCGCAGTGTGTTGTGTGTGGAAATAGAGAAGAAGTATTTTCCTGTAATTCTACCCTCCAGGTACCAGTATGACCCCAATATGAAAATACAACAAGCAATGACCAGCATCTGGGCTGCTCTCGTACCAGAGACAAAGAAAACGGTTGGTTTATTTAAGTCGTAGGCTAGCTTGCAAAACACTCTCTGTTTCTTTTAAGACAAACGGAAGAAGCGTAAGCTAAGCGGGAGTTGTGTTAAAGCCTGAAGTTCAATGGAGGAAAATTTAAGAGCATTTTTGTTCTCTTTTTTGGAGTATATTCCTTTTCGTGTATCCCGCTTAATTTCACGCTCCTCCCATTTGACGTTGAGGAAAAAAGAAAAAAAGAAAACTGCAACGTATGCTAATCAAATTCACTTAGCGGTAATTACAGCTTCCTCAGCAGTGCGTATCCATAGAAAAGGAATGCGTAACAGAATGACTAAACACCTCCTAGTATACTGGAATTGCGGATTGGTGATAGGAACTTAGTTAGATTTACCTATTGCATATTAACTTAGTTGCAAGTTTGAACAGTCATGCTTGCATTTTATAAGCCTTAAGTGGATGTGTCACCATTAAATCTGTTTTTTTTTGTTAATTTAGTGAAAACGCAAAATGGTATTTTTCGAATTTTATCCGGTCTTTTCAAGGGCCTTTTCAAAAAGCTCCGTCCTCTAAGGACAGTTCACCCGGTTAAGTATGGACGATAGAGCTAGCCGTTGGAATAAAGTCACGCTTTCAAAATTTCCGCATTCCTAGTTTTGATGTCATTTGATGTTTTAGGTGGATAAATACGTGAATGAAATACTAGAAGACTTAAAAACAAGTCTAGAGAGTAACATATGGAGGGTAAGACAGTCCAGGTAGGTAAAAAAGCAAAGATCATTTACTTATAGCTTTAGCCTTTCGTCACATCTAAGGAGGAAGGGCTAGCACTTAAAATGTCAGCTTCAGAAACTCTTAACGGTGGCTGTTAACAACAGACAAATTACCTTGTTATACCTTGCACCTACGCAGCACCATAGTTTCTTAAGAAACTTACCCCCTTTGTTCATATGTTTAAAGTTTACTTTCAGCTTTGGAGGGGTTTTTTTTACGGATAATACTGCGAATTGTGAGGGTTCAATAGCGATGGCATCACCGAAAATTGATTTTTAAGTTTATTGTTTACTGTTTATGAAATGTGTCGTAAAGCGCTCAAATAATGGTAGTAAATCTATCAGAACTTTAAGATGAGTCAGACACTGTTACAAAAAGAAAACCAAAAACTGAACTTTTCTGTTTACAGTAGGTTGGTTAGATTTCCTGTCGGTCTGTCTATATGCCTGATTGTCCGTTACCAGCCCTACCTTCTATTCCCTTTACTTGTCTAGTGTTTCGCATTTTGTTTAAAAAGTTCTCATCGTTGTTTTTATTTTCAGTTGCATGGCTCTCAGTGATCTCCTCAGCGGTCGATCAGTAGAGGACATGCTCGAGTCTCTCCCCAAGCTTTGGGAGCTGTGTTTTAGAGCACGAGATGACATAAAGGTTGGTAATAAATGAAGATTTATGGCAGAAAAACTCCTAGATTTCCATGTTAAGCGAATTACTCATGAGTTTCAATAAAAGCCGGTTACGAGACCTCCGCCTATAAGACCTCTCACCGCCGTCTGTTGAGCCAGCGAGCAGGCTCTCGTGTTTGGGTTTTGCATAACGGCGAAACTGCCTATTACGCTATCTGCAGCCGCTTAGAGGAAAAGCTATTGAAAGCTCTGATTACGTGAATTTCTTAGACTGGGGTTCCAAAATAATATATATTTTCAAGAAAATAACCACCCTTGAATATTGTTTTTTCTTGTAAATGCTAACATTTTACTGCAAAAGGTTACTCTTTCAAATGACTTCGCCCGGGTTGCCGTGAAAAGCATCCGGAGTAATGTAAAGAAGTGGAACGTAAAACTCAGTGGTTACTTTGCAGGAATCTGTCAGACAGGCAGCCGAAGTAGCGTGTAGGACCCTAAGTAAGGTATGAATTTGTGGTGACGTCATCGTCATTTCGTTTTAGAACTTGATTGGCATGGATAACTTCTTTTATCTTTTGAAATTTACGTTATTACAGACTGCTAGTCTGTTCCTCAGTAACTCGTTTTCTATAACAGTTGTCCTTGACTCAAAATAAACGGTCAATATCAGTTAATTTCAATTATTGAACGACTCCCAATTAAATTGAGCAATTGCTAGGCATTTGAGGAGATTTAATGGAAACCAGTGTTTCTCTGAGTGTGTTGATTATCTGGACTCTCGACGGTTTCGGGGACGATTGAGACGTAATAAGCGGAGACATCAGTGGAAACTATGTTTATGGGGATATGCAGTGAGTTCTTAATTTGACTTGATTGTGCAGGTGTCTATTCGTGTTTGTGATGTAAATCAAGGCAAGCTTGGTGAAACAGCTATCGCATTAGTCCTTCCAACTCTGTTACATAAGGGAGTGGCGAACAGTGCAGACGAGGTCAGATCTGTAAGGTAACGGCGTTATCCAATTAGTACAACTTGATAGATTAGTTAACTGTGTTATTTCGTCGTGAACGCCATCAGTAATCATATTCTCCATACTATTAACTATACATTTTCTAGGGTGTCGACAGGGAGAATTTGATTAATAATCAATAGCTTCTCCAGTTGATGATCATTTCCTTTATTCTCATGACCTTTATGTGTGACTCTGGGGTGATATTGTAATGAGAAATTAGATGCTAGTCATTCTTAGAGGTCAAACGGTTAAAACGGATCGAATGCAAAATCTTCTTTTCTTTTTGTTGGTACAGTCTTTCTACAATAGTGAAGATCAGCAAGAATGCGGTATGTTCCTCTGTGCGCTCTTTTGTCTTTAGATATTCTAATGTCAGGGGGTTTAGCTCCTCATAACCGTCGCAATTTCAATAACATGGTTCACGTGGATGTGTCGGCGGGAAAAACTTGACCCATGCCGGATACGTTAAGTTATGAAAACGACTTCGAACAGATCTTGTAGCTTTACTGAGAAAGTATTATATTCTCTTCTAAAAAGCAGTGAAGCTGGCTTCGATTATAGCTATTTATTTATCAAATGTCTTCGTTTCCCACAGGGTGCTCTGCTAAAACCTCACATTCCACTGCTGGTAATCGCTCTCCTGGAGTCACTCAGTGGCTTGGAAGACCAGGTTTGAAATTTGAATTTTATGCCAGCCCAGCAATACAGTCTGTATCTGACAACGTACTGATAGACTTTTATGGAAAGAAAATTGTAAGGTGTATTCTGCTTGGCTTTACTGTGTTTTTGCTTCGGCAATTTCCCGTAAGCGCCCAAATACACGCCCGGGGGCTTTTTGATTTTCAGAGAGGGATGGCGGAGTGGGGAACGGGTTGCAAACTTTAAGTGTTAGACAGTGGCCACTCTAGAGAGAGGCTCAGACTTATTTAAGCGTCAAAGGCACATAAGAAACATAAGAAACTCTAACGATCGTTTCCTATTTTGCTCAAACAGTCGATGAACTACTTGAGTCTGCAACTGCATAAAAGTGAAGACGTTCAAGAGAAGGTAATTGTGTAAAAACCTAGAATTCGCTCATTATTTATCGAGTTTAGTTCAATGATATGTTGGTATACTGTGTTTAATCTGACTGCAGCTCAAATCACAAATGTAGATTACACATAGAGTAACTTAGATAAAAATGCCATCACAGAGTATAGCCGCCCTTTGACTATCAGTTACGCATTCCAGCATAGGGATACGGAAAGTTTCAAAATGCTGAAACCATGTTCATGCAACAATGATTTTATCTGAAGTTGCATTATAAGGCTTTAAAATAAAGAAAAACATTTTGAATTTGACTTAACATGTTTTAACCTCTCAACCTCATCCCTCTGGATAAACTGGTTCATCGTAACGGATTTGAAATCTGATGATTTTGTCCTCAAACTCTTAAAATTTATTTATGAACGCTAAACTAATGTCTGATGTCAAATCTCGGTTAGAATATAGTTTTTGAGGAAACTGTGGTACTACGTCGGTGGGAATATCGCAAGATCATTTGGTTTCCTCAACTGAGCTGATAATGTAAAGTAGCCACCTTGAAGAGTTTGTAAAGCTGACAAAAGGCTAACGCTCGAAATGTCAGCGTTAGAAACTCTATACGGAGGGCTGTTTACATTATCAACTCTTTAGCACTGGTGAATTGATAGTTATGCCCTCATTCTAATTTCAGCTTGAAGGAGTACGAATTGCTGCCTCTAAGATGTCTCCTATGATGGAAACAATCAACATGGTAAATGTTAAACAAAATATTGATACCTTTCAGATATAGTATTTCTCAAAACTTCACGTACTTTTTACCAAAGACGAGCAACACATTCTCAACATTTTGTTGTACAAATTTGTTGACATTTTTGCGTAATCCTTTCGAACTTCGTCACATTTCACGCAAACGTGTTCCTAACGTGTTTCCACGATAGAAATCTGTGAAATTTTTTTTCTCTCTCTCTCTCTTTTTTTTTTTTTTTTCTAAGTTGAATTAGCTATCCAGGTCTAGATATCCTGGCACACCTTAGAGGTTTCCCTTGGCTTAAAAAAAAGATTTTTCAGCTTTCAGAATAGACTCTTACTAAAGTTTTGGGCCAAAGTTAAAGTTGAGTATTCTTGTTTACCGAAAATCTTCCGTCAGTGCAAATCAAACTGTACCCTTTTACACGTTTGAATAGATGGGAGTATAACATGAACCGTAAGCCATTCCAATGTTCCACGTTTTTTTAGTTAAGAGTGAAACTCTGCGAAATTTATTTATCAAATGAGGATGCTTATTTGGCTGCAGGCATGAATTACTTTCACAGGTTGATAATTGAGTTGTGTTCATTTTTATCTGCATTGACGGTATGTCGAGCTGACTAATTTATTAATATCCATATCAGCCTCTAAACTCGCTCACTTTTTGTTTCTATAATTCAGTGCGTGCAATATGTGGACGAAACAGTTCTCCCAGAACTCGTACCCAGACTATCCGACCTTTTACGAACCGGAATTGGACTGGGAACAAAGGTAGTAGTTTTTCTCTCTATGTTTGTCTTCACACCTTGTTAGTTTTATGTATTTATATTCAAAAAGGGGTAACTTGTAATTGATTTTATTTTTTAGGCAGGATGTGCTAGTTTCGTCGTCTCTCTTGCTATGCAGTGCCCCCAGGAACTGATTCCATGGGCTGGTAAGTCTGAGTTTTCGAATCTCAATAAAAGTAATTATTTTGTTCTAACGTTCATTACTTTTTACGCTTGATGTTACCGTAGTATTTTGTTCATTGCTTTCATAGTCTCGAACATAACCTTTTTCAAACAAAACCAAACTTTCGACGTTAGAATAAAGCGTTTTGATGTAAATGTCGTATGACCCTCCACTGATTAGACCCCACCCCACCCCACCCCGCGAGAGAAACTTTGCATATATCGAAAATCCTATTTAATTGGTGTCTTTCTCTTTTTTTGTCAATCTACAGCGAAACTCCTCAACGCATTGTCGTCTGGATTGAGCGATCGCAGCGCCTCCGTCAGAAAATCTTACGCTACAGCTATAGGTCATCTGGTCAAGGTAAACCCACATCAATTATAAAAAATCCAATGTCGTTCTTTACATGTTTGTTATTGTTCTAGTGTAGAATATTGATGTTGTTGTCATAGGAAGAGATTCTTATTTTGTCCACCAGCGAACATTCCTAGTAATTATTGTTTGCCACGTAATTGTGACCATATGTTTATATCTTGATTAAACACAGGTCGCAAAGGACAGTACCGTGGAGAAAATTCTCGATAAAATAAATAAATGGTACTTTGAAAAGGAAGGTAAATGTTGGTCTTCTGTAAGTCAAGTTTAGTGACGCGTAACCATTGGAACCCATGTCGTTCCCTTGACCAACGTAATCGCCGTTTTTTTTCTCGCTCACACTTTCTATCGTCTTTAATGACTGCTTCTAAACTACTTAATCTTTTATACCCCAACACAAACAACAAAGGGAAGAATCTTTAGTTAGCGAATTAAAAAGCAAAAAGGAGCACAGTCTTCCTTGAGAGTTAAAAGACAAAACAAAACAAAGAAGGCTAACCAGGAGCTGAATCACTGAAAATTCAATAGCGTGCTTGGTTCAGAAACACACACAAACAAAATACACAACGCACGATATCACAAACCTAACAACTAGCCGGGAGAAAAATACACATAGCTCGAGCAAAGCTATTTTATTAAGGAGAGATAATCCTTAGAGGGGGATTTTAAATCGGTTTCGGAAAAACCTCCTAAAAATGTGTTAGGTTTTTAGTGGACTCATCTAAAATTGTCTTGTTATTTCTTAGCGTGTCTCGCCCAAGAGCACATTTCAATGACTTTGCAAGGGCATCAAACCAGTTTTTTCTTCTCAGTCCATCGTGTTAGCTAATACGTTATCGCTTCTTCTACGCTGCCTTAGAACCGGTCACCAAGTTTTATTTTTTAGTATTAAATATAAAATCGATTAAAGACGCTGTTATTTTAAACACTTACTTTCAGATGAAGGTTTGAGGTTAGCTTGCGGTATTGCTCTTCAAGCTGTGTCACGCTATTCCCCGGATGTGTTGAAACGTCACGCAGCTAAGGCCCTTCCCGCGGTCTTTTTTGCCATGCACGGCAAGAAGGCAACAGGTATTGTTCGAATATTTTTGGGTAGTTCTGATGTACCAAGTTACAGGAACAAACGACCATTTGACAACAAATGTATGTAAAGTGAAATTTTCCGTTCTGTAGATGAATGATTTGCCAGGTGATTCTTACAGAGCTGTACATCTGTATTAAGCATCGTAAAACTTAAAAAATTGTCATTAGAAACGTCGATTAGAACCAAAAAGAAAAAAGCAAAGGGAGGGGGGAGTGGTTTCATGCGAAAACGATATTGGGGTGAGAGGGTAGCTTTAAGTTTTTACACCTATCAGAGAGCGCCGTAGAGTAAAGGTTAATGAAGTATGTTCATTTACAGCAAGCAGCAGTTCAAGTTCCAACGACTCCTTATGGGAGGAGATTTGGCTCGAGAACACACCAGGTAAGTGATTTGCTTTTCTTGTGGTTGTGCAAATTTATGCGAAAATGCTGGTTATTCTTAAAGCTACGACTAGTCTAAAGCAACACCGTATGATAATAGCAATAAACTAATCTCAACTGGACCACGGGCAAACATTAAATCTTGAGACACCAAATTAACACTAAACAGTGTCAGGCAGAGGGCGGCTGTTATTCAGTCAAGTGTTGCTGCGAGTAAAAACGAGTTGCGGGCAAACGCAGATGAACTTTAGCAATGCCTAACGCTAAAAAATCAAACGTAGGAAGAACTGTTGACAGTGCAAAGTGCAGGAAAACCTTTAAACGATGTCAAATGCGGATAGACTTACAGACGAGGTAGAAATTCCAAGTGTAAGAAGTTTAATAGGTGCGAATCGTAGTGACAAAACAATAGTGGAAGCGAGGGAAAAAAAGGAGCGGGTACCTGTACGATACGTGTCTTCAATGCTTGTTGTATGAATCAAGAAAGGTTAAATTGCCAACTTGTTCGCCGTTTTCGAGTGTTGATTTTATCATTTCTCTTTTTTGTTTTTGTCGTTTTCGTCAGGTACCGAAGCAGGCATTCGATTGTACTTGGATGAAATAGTATCAATCACGTGTCCAGCTTTGACGTCACAGTCATGGGCAACTAGGGCCCAAGCCGCCGTAACGATTTCTGCCGTAGCGCAAAAGCTAGGTAAGGATGTCGCTTGTTACGAATTTTAACAAATGAACCTTGCTGGATGTCAGAGGTTCACCTTTCTGTTTTCTAGGTTCCTCTCTTTGTCAGCCTAACCTTGGTAAGTTGCTGAGTTCTCTGGTCAGCGGATTATCTGGGAGAACATGGACGGGCAAAGTAAGTGCGCGTGTTTCTCAAAAAGATTAATTTTCTGAAGAAAATGGTATTGTTGTGGTTGCGACGCACGGTATCCAATGTGGTATACTGGTTTCAGTATTTGAAACCTAAATTAACATCGTGTATAAGACACAGTTTCATACTTAGTTATCTTGTCTTGCGTCTTGTTAATTGAACGTGGATTATTACAAGTAGCATGGTAAACTTGTGAATTACGTCGTTTTAACTCCTACTTTTTGCACGATTATGTTTTTTTTAGGAATCTCTGCTCTCTGCATTATCATGTGTTTGTATCAAGTGCAGGTAAGGCACTCAGACTCCTATACGAAGGGAGAATCGCATTCATGACAAATTGCAATATGAGCAATAATTTCACCTGGGTGTCAAAGTAAATTCAAAATTGCATTAAATCTGGTTATGCTTTGCTACTTTCTGTGCTATTTTTAAAAACCTTGGACCGTTCAATAAATCAGTCGCCAAACTTGAACTAATCCTTACTCGGTTACTTGCATATTCCAACGTTTGAATCCGATCATGCACGTTTACTTTAAGTTATTACTAGTTCCCTCTGGCATTTCCCTTTTTTCTGGTTGGCTTTTGGGTTGTGGTTCTATTATAATCGGACGACAGTTGATTTCAGGAACGTACAGTTTATAGGCGTCCTTTGGTTGTTATTAATGCAAAGTTATATTTTTAACATGTTTGTTTAGAAAAAGCTCTTACTGAAACTGAGTCGTATGAACTTTTGACGTTTAGTTCTGCCCTTTTCTCTTCACTATATACAAATAATATTTTTTTCGTTGTGTCTCTTTGGTAGGAAGTCAATACAAGACTCGTCTCCAAGAGTTGATCCAGATATTGAGGAAGTAAGATAAGACGACGTTTAGATTTACATGTGACGTGCAACAGAACACAGACAAATGTCAAGAAAAAAGGCTCCATATTTGATTTGTGAAGAAGTTATACTTTTTATCTTGACCTCATGCCTAATAATGTTTCACTTTGTTCTATGGCCATGTCCACGGCTCCAATACTTGAGGGTTCTGAAGCCTGTTTCTCGAAAGTCCCGGTAACTTAACGGGCTCGAAGCCATATTTTAAAATTAAAATATAAAGAATAGTGAAGCAGTTTATGGCACCCTAACCATTTCATTTTGTGTCTTAAGCTGGTAGTTTTATTGTACAACTTTAAAAATTTTGAAACCATCTTCTTGAATTGAAACAAAACAGCTTTACGGGCCCGTGCAGTTACCGATGAATATGATGCGGGAATGAATGTCTTGTCATGTGGTTGATCTTCAAACTTTTTCACTGATGTTTCACTTCCAATTTTAAGTGTTAAAATTGTGCTTCTTCTGTAGGTACTTGACTCGATATTCAAAGAATGCAAAAAGGAAAACCCAACGTACAAGAGAGCTGCATTAAAGTGCTTCGGAGAAATCGTCCAGGAATATTCTATCGATAGATTTCAACAACTCTCCGAACTTTTATTTCCTATTATAGCTCCTGTAAGTATTCTGTTGGTTCACCATTTATCATCCAAAGGTTATTTCAATTTGATGGATTCTTTCCGATAAATTAAAATTGTGAACAGTTACCTTAAACTCAGAAATGGCCCCCCTTTCGTCTAGTGCTTCATGGTTCTAGTTAGTCCTTCCTCACCAAAAATAGCAAAATGATAATGTTACTATACTACTGTCAGAATGGTCATACCTTAGTGTTGTTATTTTTCAATTCTATGGGACGTTAAAAAATAGATAAATAAATAAATATATTAATATATTAATATGTATATACTTGTCTTTGAAAGCCTCATTTAGTTTCCATGCTATAAAATTTGTTCGTCTTTCAAATCAAGAAATGGATGTAGTATAATTGACATACTGACTCAAAGCTCATATGAAAGATAATGGCATTTTTGCTGGTTTTAATCAAATTTCTACTACCCTTTATAATAAGCCCGGCGAAGCACGGTCTCTTTTTTCACCTCAGGATTCTTTTCTGCAATCGCTTGAATTTCAGTTCACTTACAAAGATCATTGCTTTACTTGAGAGTTACATTTCCCGTTTAATTCAAATACTCGCCTTTTAATCCTGCTGCAAATGTATGCTTGAATGCTCTGACTGTGAGGAACTCAATTATCAATGATCCTTGGATGTTTTGCTTGTCCAACTTACAGGAGCCAAAGGAGGAGGAAGAAGGCGAGGAAGAAAATGGAGACGAGGAAGAGAAGGACAAGAAAGTGGATCAAGAGTTCTTGGTTTGTTCTTTTGAGTGTCTGGGACAGGCGTGGCCAAAGAATTCCACCGACTCCCAAGGTCAGGTTTCTTTTCCCACTTTAGCTTACGCATCGTAACAAAATCGTAGTTGTCGTAATATTAGCTGCCAGCTAACATTGCTTGGTGTTTTTGACCAGCCAATGTGACCGCTTATATTCCTTATAGAGTAACGAGAAATTACCACAGTTGAACCATTTTTCTCCTTCATCTTCATTTAACAGACAAACACGGAGAGCGTTTTTGTTCCATACTTACTGCAGCCCTTACTTCAAACACTTGGAAAGTTCAAGTCGTGGTTTTAGCAGCCATTAAATTATTTATAGAAAGGTTGGTGGAAATTGTTTCGTTTGTTTGGCTGCTGCTGATTTTACGGTAAAGCAGCTTCACTCCGCTATGCAGTTGGTTTTGACATGAGTAAATTGACGCCAACGGTTTTTTTTGTCGTCGGATAATTCCACTTTTAAAAAACTGTACGGAGCGCCTTGACGTGGTTGTGGATGTTTGTTGATCCACCTACAAATGAAACTGCAAACCGCGAAATTGATTATAACTGATCATACGTGAACAAACCTTGCAGTTAAACCGAAGTAAGTTTAAATAAGTCATTTTAGGATCTTTGTCAAAAACTTCTCGAGTTCACCTGCCTAACAGAGATCTTCATGTTTCTAAAATCATGAAGTTGTAGCTGTTGATTTTATTTTTGGTATTTATATGTTCTTGTCCATTTTCTTTTTCTTCCTCACGTTTTGGACGTGTTTGCTAAGACATCACATTTTACTCTTCTGTTTTTTTTTTCGTTACATTCCGTTCCGTTTTACTCCTTAAAGTTGGTTTCCCTCTTCCTCGTTTTGCTTTTTTTTGGCTCGGTAGCCAAGGCCCGCTAATTTTACGCGCCCGAAGTAATAGTTCAAATCTAATTCTCCAAAACAAGTCCATTCTGTTTCGTTTCTTGATCTCGATAATTTTACAATTTTAAAAGTGTCAATCTCTTGATCTTGGAAGAAAAACTGCAAATAAAAATAAACTTTTTGAACCCGGAGAAACGGACCCCTTTTCTTCTTTCTATTTATAGTTGTGGAAACGGTAGTTTTCAACTTTTTTATTTTGCTATTTTTTTTTTCATTATTCTTTATTTTCCAGGATGAATTGGGTCAATGGAACACCCGATGGCTCGGGAGAAGAGAGTATCGAGAGAATAACTATGTTAAGAAACACCCTCGGACAATTTGTTCCACCAGTTTGCGAATGTTTAGGTTTGCTTGATTTTAATGATGTTACAATTTGTTTTAGATGAGTGTCATACGTATATGGCTCTAGTATTTTGAAATGGTTCACCTAGTCTTTTGGGATACGGAGTGACAAAGAACCTTTTTTTCCCAAGATCGTAGTCTGTAAACCCTTTTGATCTTTTCCTTTCCATAATCTTAGGTTTTTCTCACCTCTTGGTGCTTGTGTGCTCGTGCAAATAATTATTTCAAGGTTTTATTTGGTGTGGAAGTAATATCCTGACGCTTAAAAACTAGCCAAATGTAGGAAAATAGCTCCCTTTACGTTGGAATGTTCCCGTCTTCGACGTTTGTCCCTCAAGGTAACTTGTAGTTTGTCATATTCTTCTGGGCGGTGTGGGAGCGCATTGAAATTGCCCAGCTCTGAATTTTCTGCAGCAAATAACCCGACTATGACAGATGCTGTTTCAGAAAGTTAGAAACTGTTTCAACTCGACAAATCAACAGTGCTACAAGCTTTTGAACTTACGTTAGTTTTTAAGGATCTTAAAACACCTAAACATAAGTAAATTGAATAGCGCGTTTCAATCCCTCCCTTTTATGTACATATTTTAATGTGTTTTGCTGCTTTATTTTTTTCACAGAGGTTAAGAAGTATGCTGCGGTGCGGTTGGGATCAGTTGAAGTTCTAGAGACAATGCACTCAGCTCTACAAGGTTAACTGATTTAGTCTAAGCATCCAGTAGAGAAGAGTCATTTCAATGAATTTCATCATCATCATCATTGCTCGTTGCGCCAATAGGCTGTCACATTGTCCTCCCACCCCCCCCCCCCCCGTGGGGTTTGTGCCGCCGCCTTAGGGAATTAAGTCAAACAAAATTATCTCCTGCCCACTTTTCATAGGGTGGGCTAGTACTCGAGATGACCACTTTTCAAATGCACTTCTGTGGTTTAATTGCCTTGGGCAACGTGTTATTCTGTAATCAGGAAAGTCTCTCACTTTCCCGCTGGCGCAGCATACCAGTCTTTTTTTCCCTAGAAAATCATCAATAACTTGTTTCTTACATTAATTTTTTCAGGTCATATCCGCTTATCACTGCTGACGGAAGAACTAAAGGAACTTATATTAGACAGTCTGAAATACGTTTACAGTGACAAGGAACCTAACATCCGGGATAAAGCCCTAGAACTTAAAAACAAATTTCTCTCTCTTGGCTTCTCTGGTTCATAGCGTTAAAAACACGTCCAGTTATAATACGGAGTGAAGACGTGAATGGTGTGCAATCTGACATGGACCACCTTTCAAAGATACTGCACTTACCGAGAGGCCGCGGGTTGCGACTGCGCTTGGCCACTCAAGCGTGTTTAGCCGGCACTCGATCGATTTAGTCGGATAGGAAGGTGAAAACGCGCTCGTTTGCATCGATCAATTATTTATTTTCCCTTTGGGAAAACTGAAGCAATCAAGGGTTCAACTTTGTGTAAAACTAGAAAATCGCTTTCGGAAAAAATTTACGTCAATCAAGAAAAAAATATTGTTTCTGTTTCCATATTGATAAAATCAAAGATAAATGCAGTCTGCGAAGCATTGAAACAGCTTGTTAGATAATAAAATTATCACGATCGCTGAGCTCAAGTAGTCTTTGTAGTCCTTTATGATGGGTAGTGTTGACTCCATTGAAACACTTATGCCATTAAAGTGAGCTAATTTACAAGCAATCCTCCGCCAAAGGTGAACTGCTCTTTGGAAACGAACTAAATAGTACTCTAAACAGGACCTTAATGGGATGATGGCTCTTACGGCTAACGGTTAAAATTATGGCTATTTTCTGGGTAACAGGTAATAGCATTCCATCGTTGTCACCAGAATCTTTTGTTACGATTAACTTTTTTACTACCAACGGTTAAAATTTGTCAATTTTTTGGTTAACGGCTAAATGTTTGGGCCGTTTTACGGCTATCGGTTAACCCCATTGAGTCCCTAAGCCACGCCTCTAATATGAACATTACTTCACTTAGAGGAAGATGTTTTTCGTCATGTCACGAGCGCGTGGGACAAACGAAATTAGTGTCCCTATGAGGAATTGAACCACTCTAACACTGAGCCACATAGTGTTTATGGTGAGCAAGGCCCAATACGAAGTTCATCATATGACACGCGTCTTGCATACTGCTAGGATCAGCAATGTTTTATACATTAGTCGGTGGAAATTCCTCACCGGTGGAGGCTTCGTATATCTGTTCTGTGGTATGTCACGCAACGCCGCCAACGACGCACTGAACTCGCACCGAGACTGGTGCGAAAACCTAAGGAGTTAAAATTACGTACGTATTCCGCTTTCAGTGTACTTTTCCAAGTTTATGGGGGCCGTAGATACAAAGAAATAGCCACCACCCTACCCTAGGCCTGCCCATTTTCAATTGAACGCCTGCAATGTGTTTGAGGTAATTTTAAAAGGTCATGCGCTCTGTGGACCGGCAAGTTGAAACGTGTCCTTCGGAAAGTTGAGATAGGGTGACGAATCTCTGCGATCACAGCGGTTATTTAAAAGAACTATGTCCAGTTACGAGAATCCTTACTACCAAGGTAATAATTCATTCTATCAGGATGGTTTCTACGCGACGAATTACGATCAAAACACGTCAGTGCCGTATGAAAATTACGGCCCTCAAAATGGCGGAGGGAATTCGAACGGTGGATTTTACAACAACTATTACAATGGAAGCAATCAGTTTCAATCGCCTTACACGGGGAACATGAATCAAGGAATTACGCAAGTCGATGAAGCCCATGGCACAGATTTTGGCGATGAACCGCCATTACTCGAAGAGTTAGGGATCAACTTTGAACATATTTGGCAGAAGACACTTTCAGTTTTGAATCCGTTTAAAACGACTGATTCGCATATTATGGATGACACGGATCTCACAGGACCTCTACTGTTTTGTCTGGCATTTGGAGGTTTCCTGCTACTCCATGGTAAAGTTCAGTTTGGTTATATCTACGGTTTCAGTGCGCTGGGATGTGGGGCCATGTATATTGTTCTTAATTTGATGAGTCTCACTGGAGTGTCCGTTGGATGTGTTATAAGTGTCCTTGGTTACTGTCTACTACCCATGGTGGGACTGTCTGGTGTGTCACTGGTTATGTCACTTCAAGGATATCTCGGATCAATTCTCACAGCAGTTGTAATTGGTTGGTGTAGCTTGTCATCATCAAAACTATTTGTAACAGCACTTGCAATGGATTCTCAACAGCCTTTGGTGGCATATCCTTGTGCCCTAGTGTATGGAATTTTTGCACTGCTGACTGTGTTTTGAGTCTGTTCAAGAAAATCTTTCTGATTGTAATTATAAAGTTATAAAACTCCATATGGTTTATGCCTCCCTTCCCCCCCTCTGCCAATGGAACAAAAAAATATCTGAGTTGGATACCAGGCAATTTCTTCAAGGAGGAAACTTGATTCAGTCTTCTACATCCAAATCGACTTGTAGACAAGTGTCAAGATATGTGGTGAATTATAACACTTCAGCTCACAACTCCAGAAAGTAAATTCTCTAAACTGTGGACCTTGCACTTCTCTGTTGGCTAATTGTGCCAATTTTGAGTTCAGGAACATATCTACGCAGGCATATTCTAGGAATTCACCTTGTTTTTTCCAAATCTGTTTACCTGTCTATTGTATTAAATTTGAAAGGTTTATTCATTGTCTTCGGACAAAAAAAGCTCATGGAGAAAATGTTGTCATTTTTACATGAGAACAGTTGTTGACTGTCAGGTTCAAGGGGGTTCTTGAATTCAAATTATATTGTCCCTTTGGACTGTTAGAGCAAAAACTGTAGTTTGTGAATGCATTTTCGCAGCATCTTACAATTATTAGCAATTTATTCCTTAGGGTATCAAGTTTGTCCAATTGATTTAAGTATTTATGCATTTTGCCTACATTTTCTTTTATTAAGCTAAATATGAAAACTAAATCTAAAAATATCTTCAAAGTCCTCCCAAAGGGGATTAAATAATTTACATCTGGCAAGAAGAATGCCGTCTACAATGCCTAGGTCTAACGTTCCCATTCCATGCACTACACTTTAATTGTTAGCAATCAAATGTAGTAGCCAGAGAATCAATTGTTGTTTAAAGAGCATCTTTGCAGCTTCTCTTACTAAGTTTAATTTGATTTTATTTCTTCTTTTGGTAAATTTCCATTGAAAGAGCTGCACTAACAACCTAGGATGTTGCACTTAATCACCTATGCCCTTTGTCTCCCAAGATCTGCTAGTTAATTGTCCCCTCAATCTGTTGTAGGCACATTTCCTTGTAAATTCGTTATTTGGAAATTTGGTGTTGGATCTAAACAACAACTTTAACCTGATAAAATTTGAATATTCTCAGTACCCATTTGGTGTATAATGTATGAATATTATAGGGAGAAGTTGCATGTTGATCACTTCTGGATTTGATAGATGTAGCTTACAGAAGGTAGCAAGTCTAAAATTAACCTGTTCAATCATGTCTGAAAGACAAAAATTAGCCTAATTTTTGTTACAGACAGGAACATTTTTATGGGGTTTACAGACACTCTTGAAGCCTTGACTATCTGTAAACACTTTGAGTTAATGAATTTAAAGGGAAGAAAAGCCAAATATTTAAACTTGAGAAATTAAAGTGGACAGAATGAACAAACGTTAGGGTGCAGACAATTACTTGGTGAAAACCATGTCTTATTATGTTACGTTTAATCTCAAACCACTTAGGCCAAAAACCTATTTCCAAACTTTTTTATTGTTGAGCTGAATATATTCAAACTGTGAGTTTTCTTGTAGTGATTTTGACAAATCTAGGTACTGTGTTCAGTGTATCAAAATGTTTTTTACAACAATTGGCAGTAATGTTGCAATCTGATTGGCAAATTTGATATTGTTGATAAGAATACAGAAATGCTGCTTGCATCAAGGTGTCAGGTAATGGTCAGGAAAATTAATGATAAGCTTGCACCAAGATTTTGGTAGTTATGAACAGCAGGTTGTCTGAGTTTGGCAACTACAGTGTTTTTGTACTCCTATTTGTTGAGAAGTATTTCTGAAGTTGTGATTTAAGGATAAAATGAAAGGACATTGAACACTATTTGATCTTGAAAATCATTTACCTTGGGGCTGCATTGTATGAAGTTGATCGAAAGTAATCCATGATTAACATGTAAGCTTTCATTTGCCCATACTGCCCTCATTTTCTGCATGGCCTGTGTTTGCTTGTCCACTATCTTCAGTTATGGTGTTACAAACCAAAAGTTGAATCCAACTTCAACTTTTACACCTTAACAGCAGTATGCACACTCTATAGACCTCTCCATAAATTTCTTGTGGAACTTACAAGGGGAATTTGCTTAATAATCAAAAGCTTTTTGACCTCACAATAATTGCCTTTATTCTCATGATCTTATTTTTGATTCAAGGGTGATACTTGTGGGAGAAATTGGATGCTTATCACCAAGGGGTTAAAGGGTTAAATAATGGTGCTAAGAAAGTTCACCTCCAAAGACTAAGATCAAAGTCACCTGAGACTGGGAGTGAACTGTCAGTGTGACTTGCAAATCTTAAAGTCTGTTCTTGACCCTGGTGGCCCACCCTGCCTGAGCTTATCCTGGTTTCTCAGCATAAAGCGACTAGGGGTATTACATCTTCCCCTAGATGGGATGCCAGTCCATTGCAAGGTTACCCCCAGCATTTCATCAAGCTTCCTGACAATTCACTGGTACTCATTTGTACTCCTGGGTGGAAAGAGACATTGTGAGAGTGAAATGCCCTGTCCCAAGAACAGAACACATTGATCTGGTCAGGTCTCAAATGATTATCAGAGGAATGCTATTTACTTTTAACATCCTCAAAAACATTTCAATTGGTTGGATATTCAAAAGTGTAAACATCTTGCTCGGAGTGAATGTATAGACTATAATCTCGGGTAATCGTCCTAATAGCGAACAGTTTTCTGACTAGCAAAGAACAGATAATGTCGAAGGAAACATTAAAAGAATGTTTTAGTGCCAGACGGCAGCACTATTGTGTTTGACATTCTTTATAAGCTTCACAAAACACCGCCGCAAATTATTGTTTTGGCCTTTCAGAACGACGTAATGAAGAAACGGGTGTGTCTTCCCTTTCGCAACGACAACAAAACGATTAACATTAGTCAACCTTAAAGACTTGATTTTGTAATAGGGGAATACCAGTTGAGGTAAATTAATATTTTTTTGCATTTATTGCAATACGAGACCGGTGCTAGTTTAAGAGTCAGGTTCATTCTCTTCAAATACAGTAGCAATCGTTGGTGATGACGAGCGGGTTTCTACTTCTGGAGATTCTTGCCGAACTTTTCCCGAACGCTTCGAATGAGCCGAACGAATCCTCGGAAGAGTTGGCGAATCAATTCGTCTTTCCGCCTTATCAAGTTTCGTAAGATCCGTGAAAGATAGGGAACGTTGGAAATTCGGAAACGGAAATGGATGAGGAACGTTCTTGTCAGCCATTAAAGAACTGCGCTTTAGAAGTTTTGCAGTGGCACCTCCTCTGAGAAAATTCCGACCCTTTGATAAATCAGTGTTCTTTCTCGTTCTTGTATTACCATTTCTCTGT